TCAATGTGGCAGGTTTCTTTGGATCTTGCATTCCAGTAAAACACATTTCACTTGTTTCTTTCAATGGGATTGTTCCTATAAGACAGGGGTGGGTTCTACTTACCTTTACTACTGGTTCGCAATGGGATCGCGCACGCACGCATGTGAGCGAAGCGAGCACATGCGCCTTGCTTCTGCACATGTGCAGATCGCCGATGATGACATCCGGGACGGTGGGCGGGGCCTCCCATCGGTTTTACTACCGGTTCTTACGAACCGGTCCGAACCTGGGACAACCCACCACTGCTATAAGAGCAGTGCAATTGAATTGGCAAACCCAGGCAGTTTTTTAATATCAAAGTCCTATGAGACTTCTAGATCCAGACAGACAGGCAGGTGCTAGCCAATCAACCAGACATTGTGGTAGTAGACAAGGACCAGAAGAATATTTAATACCATTTTATAATGCCTTGGTAAGGCCACACGTGGAATACTGCATTCAGTTTTGGTCGCCACGATGTAAAAAAGATGTTGAGACTCTAGAAAGAGTGCAGAGAAGAGCAACCAAGATGATTAGGGGACTGGAGGCTAAAACATATGAAGAACGGTTGCAGGAACTGGGTATGTTTAGTTTAATGAAAAGAAGGACTAGGGGTGACAGTGTTCCGATATCTCAGGGGCTGCCACAAAGAAGAGGGAGCTCAAACTATTCTCCAAAGCACCTGAGGGCAGGACAAGAAGCAATGGGTGGAAACTAATCAAGGAGAGAACCAACCTAGAACTAAGGAGAAATTTCCTGACAGTTAGAACAATGAATCAGTCGAACAACTTGCCTCCAGAGGTTGTGAATGCTCCAACACTGGAAGTTTTTAAGAAGATGTTGGATAACCATTTGTCTGAAGTGGTGTAGGGTTTCCTGCCTAAGCAGGGGGTTGGACTAGAAGACCTCCAAGGTCCCTTCCAACTCTGTTACTGTTAAATGGTGGTGACAGGTGTAGCATGCCAAGCAACAGCAACATCAGGAAGGTTTGAGGAATGGAGAAGTACCAGGGCCTGAAGGAGCAAGTGGAGATGATGTGGAAAATAAAGGCCAAAGTACTCCCAATCTTAATACTGCACTCTTCTGGACAGAGAGCCCTGACGTTGTTCCTGGGATCTGTTGGAGCCACCTTCCCAGTTTAGGAGTCACAACCCCAAATGCTCCTATCATTTCCTTAAGCTGGGAAAATGGCTCCAACAGATCCCAGGAACAACATCCAGGACAGTGTAGTGCTAAGAGCAGCTAAGATACTGTGCAGAACTCTCAAACTCCTAGGTTTGAGATTGAGATAGAGGCCCGAGATTGAGGAACGTATCACTCCTAGGGGTAGAAAGGGAATCTCCTCATAGAACATCATGTAGCATTTAATTTTTGCACACAAATAGTTTACACATTTTATTTAAATAAAAACTTTATTTTTCTTTTTCAACCTCTTCTATCGTAGGTCACAACAGAGGAATTCATGAACTATTATGCTGGCGTCAGTGCTTCAATCGATACCGATGTCTATTTCATTGTGATGATGAAAAATGCTTGGAAAATCTGATATCCTAAAACGATTCTGTTATTCTTGTGCTTTTGCTCTAAACATCTCTTTCAGCCAATAGGCAGGACAGTGGTTATATTAGATGGAATGACAGCCTTTACCAAAAGAAATTAAAATGTCTTATTGTTACTGTGATCACTGTGTCCATTGTGTTAGCTCCACCAATGTCAGGGAAGAATTGATTTTTCAACAAGCAAGATTTCTCGGTGCAAATAACATGGCAAATAGGTTAATAATGTTCCCAAGAACAAATGGTGGTGGGATCAGAGGTTTATTTAAAAACCTTTCTCCAGCTGCAAGCCTAGTATTGGAAATGCTACTTAAGCTATCCAGTCTGTCTTGCTCTTCTGGGCTGGAACTCAAAATATCTCCATCAAAGGACCTCCCAACCTCAACTTGAATGTATCTCATGAAATACTTAGATAATTGCCACCTGTTAGGGAGCTTTTTGATGACATTCAATTAGACTTCTATCTAGAACAGGGGTGGGTTCCACTTACCTTTACTACTGGTTCACAGCGGGAGCGCGCACGCTTCTGTGCATGCGCAGAAGCTTCTGTGCATGCGCAGATCACCCATGATGATGTCATGGTGGGTGGGTGGAGCTTCCCACCAGTTTTACTACCGGTTCTATAGAACCGGACCGAACCGGGAGCAACTCACCACTGATCCAGAAATCTGGTGGGATTCAGCTGGTTCTGGCTGGTTCAGGCGAACCGGTAGTTAAATTGCTGGCTCGCCTTGCCCCACCCCTCCACTCCCCTTCCAGGACTACCCACGCTCCCAATTTTGGCTCCCAATTTTGGCTCCCCTTCCAGGATTACCCACGCTCCCAAGTTTGGCTCCCAGGTATTTTGGCTCCCAATTTTGGCTCTCCTACTAGGCCCAAAATGGGGCACGGTGTGTGTGTGTGTGTGTGCGACACACACACACACACACACACACACACACACACACACACACAGCCTGTTTTTGCTCCCAGGAGGCTGCAGGGAGCCTCCTAGGCCCCAAGTGGGGGGGGGAGGTGTGTCTCCCCCCACCAGCACATTTTTACTCCCAGGCGGGTGCAGGAGGCCAAGTGCTGCCTGTCACCCTTGGCCACGCCTACCATGGCCACACCCACCTAGTTGGTCATTAGGGCAGAGAACCAGTTTTTAAATTATTTGAATCACACCACTACTTCTGTCCTACCTCTGCAGCTATATTTACAGTATCTTATTTTCCTTCCCCAAAATACTTGGTAGAAGTTGAGGAGAAATCATGTAGGAAGAAAAGAGGATTTATTTATTTATTTACTGAAAGAAGTTCAGAAAACTAGAGGACCAGGAAATGTAAATTGTATCTAGTGGCTTCATTACTGTGCCATAGTTTTGAAAGTCGCTCAACAAATTTTTGCTAGTCCTTCAAATCCATTTAAATCTCAAAAATTCTTTGTGTGACATAGTGCATGGTATAGCCCAGAGGGGAATAGTTAAATCAATTCAACGCCTGCCCCTTTTGCAAAGACAAATGTATCATTGGGTACAATTCACTATTCATTTGCAAGTTGTTCTAAGTAAATGAACAACATAATGCAATGGAAATATCTCTCTTTAAGCGCTTAAGTGAAAGTGGACTTCATGTACAATTTTGATAAATTCCAGATACCTTTTCTGTAGAACCCCTGGCCTTGAAGAGCTTCTAAAGCTAATGCATTGTTTATGATCATCTAACATGTAATGGTTCATGAGTTCAATTCCCAATAGAGGGTTTAGAGCCCATGGAGTAAAATCTGGTTATATAGCTGGTCTCTGACATAGGACCACAATTGGGACCAGAATTTCCATTGCTAAGTAAGACAGTTATTAAGGGAGTCATGCAGAGGTGGGTTTCAGCAGGTTCTGACCAGTTCTGGAGAACTGGTAGCAGAAATTTTGAGTAGTTCAGAGAACCAGTAGTAAAAATTCTGACTGGCCCCGCCCCCCTCTATTCTCTGCCTCCCAAGTCCCAGCTGATTGGGAGGAAATGGGGATTTTGCAGTATCCTTCCCCTGTAGTTGGGTGGGAATGGACATGTTGCAATATTTTCAGGATCAGACTCAATAATAATAATAAGAGTTAGAGGTTTAAATATATTTCTCTTTAATTATAATAGGCATTCTATATTCACTGAATATTCACAGATAGAAGCAAAGAAAATGGTGAAGGTGGCTCCTTATATATACAAAGGGTGGAGCCAAGAGTGGGAGTGGTGAATTATGAATACATTAAGAATCAAAGAATAAGTTAACCCCTGATATCCCATATATACATTATTTACACATTAGGGAATAAGGCATTTACATCTGACAGGACATTTTACAGTATCCTTCCCCTGCCGCGCCCACCAAGCCACGCCCACCAAGCCACACCACAGAACCGATAGTAAAAAATGTTGAAACCCACCACTGGAGTCATGCCCAATTTTACAATCTTTTTGCCATGGTTGTTAAGTGAATTGCTACAGTTGTTAAGTGAACCATGAAGTTGTTAGTGAATTTGGCTCCCCCCCCATTGACTTTGCTTGCCAGAAGCCAGTTGGTAAGATCACAAATGGTGGTTGTATGACCCCAGGTGCTGCAACCATCGTAAATACACGCTAGTTGTCCGTACTCAAATTTTGATCAGGTGACCGTGGGGATGCTGCGAGGGTCATGAGTCATTTTTTTTTCAGTGTCATTGTAACTTCATGTGGTCACTGAACAAATGGTTGCAAATTGAAGATTACCGGTGCACAACAGATGGGTAAGGGAATCCTCAGTCTACATTTTTTTCTTTATTCAAAGTCTTGTAAATAGTTAGGACAAGATGGATAGATTTTAATCATTGGTTACACCCTAGTCTCCGGATGGCGAACCTATGGCACGCATGCCAGAGTTGGCACGTGGAGCCATATCTGTGGGCAAGCGAGCATTGCCCTAGCTCAGCTCCAGCACGCATGCATGCACCGGCCAGCTGATTTTTGGGTCTTCCGGGCCCACCGGAAGTTGGGAAACTGGCCGTTTCTGGCCTCTGGAGGGCCTCAGGGGGGTGGGGGAGGCCATTTTTGCCCTCCCCAGGCTCCAAGAAAGCCCCAGTACCAGGTGTACCGGGCCCACTGGTAACCTTTTTGCCGTCACATGCCAAAAGCGGGTGAAGCATGGGGGGGTGGGGTGACATGCACATGTATGTGGGGGGTGTGGCGTGGGGGGGCATTGAATTATGGGTGTGGACACACACAAACCCCCCTACGCTCCCACTTTTGGCACACAACAGCAAAAATCTTAGCGATCACTGCCCTAGTCCATAATTTTGTTGGCAATAAATATTTGGCTACAATGATTTACTACCTTCTGTTTAGGCAAGACAGATGGAAGAAAGCTGTAGGTATTATTCATAAATAATGCTCGTGGATTAAAATTAAATCTACTGGCTAACATTGACTGTTTCTTAATGACTTTATTTAAATGCCACGTCAGCATCCAATTCAAAGACATTTATTATAGTTATACAAACATAACTATTATTCCATCAAAATAAAAAATTAACCATATGAAACCACTCCTTATAAAAATGAAACATAGCAGTGAATAACATGATAAGTACAAGGCAAGATTATACATCTATTGAAAAAATATCGGATACATCATGATAAAAAAATTTTTAAAATTGTTTTAGCATCCCTTGAATATTTCTTGGAGAAAGCTAAATCAAAAGCAGCAGTGAAATTATATAATGGAATTCAAGTGTTAACTGGAATAGTTATAGATATTAATGCAGGGGTACCCAACCCCCAGTCCCTGGCCCGGCCCTGGCCTGCGGCTTGCCAGAAAGCAGGCGGCACAAATAAGCAAAGTCCCATCCACGGGATGCAAGCAGCACATAAAACCATGCCCCACCCCCACCCCACCCGGTCCACAGGAAAACCTCTCTCCACAGAACCAGTCCCTGATGCTCAAAAGGTCGGGGAAGGCACTATATTGATGAACTGATCACTATAGCTAGTAATATAGACATACTGGTGGAATAATGTTTTATGAAATTATTATTACAGGCAAAATAAAATACTACTTCACATAACATACAGTTTATATTATTCATATCCACAAGGCACTGTATGGACCAAGACATGGAGTGGCCTTAAGGAGGGAAGTTCTCAAATTAAGACAGGAGAAAAATCTACCAATCCTAATAACAACATAGAACTTCTTGGGGAGCAGCAAATATTGGGGAGCAGCAAAGAGGATGGACTACACTATTGTCCCTTTTCTGAATGTTCAGAGCTTCTTCCTAGTTACTCTGGAAAAAAGGATGCTACATTGCTGGACTTTGCTCCAATTCAGCCAGTTTTATTTTTCATTAAACGGTCAGGAATCACAAGATACATCCACAAGATCAAGTGCTCCAGCATTGTCTGATTACTGCTGAATCATAATAAGGAAGATGTGGAAATTCTCCAATATCTGCACCGTCATAATTCCTATCCAGTCATTCAGACCTGGGTTCTTGAAGCCAGATAAAAATAGCAGTAGATAGAAAATTAATTCCTAATTAGGAAAATTAATTCCTAATAATTCATTTTGTTCTGAATCTTAACTAACTTCAGAAAATAATGTCTGTGGAGATTCTCAGTCATCCAGGGTTGTCTCTTTTTCAAAGGGCAAATGGACTTTCTTTGTTTTTGCTTGAAGATGTTTCATTTCTCATCAAGCTTCTTTAAATCTGTTTTGAAGAAGCTTCTTAAATGAGAAATGAAACATCTTCAAGGAAAAACGAAGTCCAGTTGCCTTTTGAAAACGCATTCTTAGAGCCCCTTATTTTCAAAAAAGCTTGCCATTGTGACGTAGGTTTCTTCTTTATTTAATACCCTGGTCTCCCCATTGGAATAAGTGTGGTCACAAGAGCCTGTTTTTAATTCAGGGGGGAAAATGTGGTCCATTGGGACAATGGAATATTTACACAGATCATTGCTGTTCCAGCCGTGTTGGTCGGCAATTCTGCCCTCATTGTATAAATTGATGCTGAGAAGTGAATGATCGTCAGAGATGTTCTCACTTCCACCGTAGAGCTTGTCTTTCATCTCTGTTGACCACATTCCTTCATATGCCAGAGGGAGCTTCAACCATCCATGATGAATATGGTTGAAGTTACTTTTTGGTTCCACCAAATCCTCAGTCTCTGCATCCAGATTATATGATGGGGGCTGAAGGTGGGTGACTTCTGATTTAGCCTGAATGCTCTCCACCTTATGGATGTCAACATATCCCAAACTCTCAGGGTTAAAGAAACTGGCGTCGGAGTTCTGCGCAGATAAGAAGATATTTATCAGGGAATTAATTCAACACATTTCCAAAGTCGTAAAGCAAAGACATTAATTCATTAAAAATATATATACAGGTAGTCCTCGACTTACAACCACAATGGACCCCAATATTTCTATTGCTAAGTGAGACATTGATTAAGTGAGTTTTGCCCCATTTTATGACGTTGCTTGCCACAGGTGTTAAGTGAATCGCTGCAGTTGTTAAATTAATAATGTGGCTGTTAAGTGAATCTTCATTGTCAGAAGGTCACATGATCCCAGGGCCCTACAACCATCATAAAAATGAACCAGCTGCCAAGTATCCCACTTTTGATCACGTGACCGTGGGGATGGTGCAAGAGTCATAAGTGTGGAAAATGGTCATAAATCACTTTTTTTTCAGTGATGTAACTTTGAACGGTCATAAAATGAACTGTGGTAAGTATATCTCGCTTAGCAACAGACGTCTGGGACTCAGTTGTGTTCGTAAGTTGAGGACTACCTGTATTTCATTTTACGTTGAAGGCCTGCAAGTCTACTTTTTCCTGAAGTAAAAGTACTAACCTTTCTTAGTTTGTGGCAGAATTTATCCAGAGTTTTTTTATGGTTAGGGATGGTGGGCCAAACAATTGCTTTGATCCTGAAGAAGATTAAAAACAATGTTAATTAGGAACAATCTTTCAGTCACCTTTGTGAATGAATCTTATATGAATTAGAATTGTGCTTTTTTTAAAAAAAAATTACCTGTTTTTCCAAAATATTGGGACCAGAAGAATTACAACAAAAAGCACGAAGAAGCTTGCAATGGATACAGTGATCAGGACAACTTTATCTGAGGAAAGAAATCTTAGCTCTAAAAATAGATACAGTAAGAGATTTTTCATTGGGAATCAAAACATGACATTACAGGTAATATTCATGTTATATGAGACATCCATTAACTAACTTCCAGAAATTTATATCCTGCCAGGACAGAGCTCTAGTGCTGGATATCTTCTATTCCTGGGGTCTCCAACCTTGGCAACTTTAAGACTTGTGGACTTCAACTTCCAGAGTTCCTCAGCTAGCTTTGCTTTGCTGGCTGAAGAATTCTGGGGGTTGAAGTCCACAAGTCTTAAAGTTGCCAAGGTTGGAGACCCCTCTTCTGTTCTGTGCCATTAGCCTAGCTTCTGCCTATCTCGCTTATGACACATAGCGACGCTAGATTGAAGGTGTTTACATTATGACTCCAGGTCTCATTGTAACAATGCAAAATCTTATGTTTGTCTCCCATCTGACATTGCTAACCCATAATTCAACAAATCCAAGCAAGAAAGGTTGGAAGTACAGTACATGCTTAAGGAAAGAACACTGCAAAACCAATTCTTGCAGTCTTCTGCAGAAAAGACATTCTATAGAAGAGGAACAAAGAACAAAGTTTTGTTCTTCGCTATTGTAGAAGGGAAGACTAGGTTTAATGGGACTAAACAACCATACGGTACATTTTACTTAAACACTGCATGAAAATTCTTGACTGAGTAATTCAGCAATGGAATGAATTAAATTGGCGACTTTGCTTCCACCAAAGTTCCTGCAGCAGAAGCTGGCAATGTCCAAGCTCCAATTCTTCTGATTATCAAGGACTCTTGGACTTCATGGTCTCATAACGTTCTTCTGGGTTTGTGGTGATACCTGTGGCCCCTGATTCTTGTTTGCTTTTCTTCCAATTCACCTAGAATTAAATGTCCTGCTTCTGACCAATCTCTTCTCTATATGGACTGAAAACAGATCCTAAATTGTCAACATAGTACAATTACTCTATTATAGTACTCATTCCTCCATGCAGTATTACTTTTACAAAACAGCTATAGGGGGGAGGGATCTGGAAAGGAAGCATGGTGATTTTCCTGCCAAAAATTCTTTCCCACAGCTATTTGTGTCTTTGAAAAGTACATGATGAAAGAAATGTTAATCATTTAACATCATATCTGATAGGTAAGGCCTGGAGTTTGGTCATGATATATTGGCTATTGTCAATTATTAACTGGTATTGGTAGTAGTTATAACAATGGCATGTTATATTCAGAAAGCTTTGTTGATGTATAAATTTTTTGAACCTAATCAAAGTACAGGTAGTCCTCAACGTATGGCCACAATTGAGCCAAAAATTTATGTTGTTAAGTGAGAAATTTGTTAAGAGAGTTTTGCCCCATTTTTACGACTTTTCTTGCCACATTTGTTAAGTGAATCACTGCAGTTGTTAAATTAGTCACATGGTTGTTAAGTGAATCTGGCTTCCCCATTGACTTTTCTTGTCAGAAGGCCACAAAAAATGATCACATGATGTCAGGTATGCCTCCTTTCAGTACTCAAGAATGAAAAACCCCGACTCCATTTTCATAGAAAAAGGTACTTCTACTGAGTATGAACTGAATGCAACCAAAAAAAAAGCAAGGTCTGAGGCAAAAGGCGCGAAAATCACATATAGAAAGCATCCTTAAAACCCTCCCCCCAATGGTCCAGTCAGGATTATCCAATCCACATCCCCCCAAGGGATCATGTGGGGTGCAGCTTCCGATGGCTCCATCCTTCTGGTATGCCAGGACAGTTGACCTTGACTGGTTATTAGCGCGCCTCCCAGCTGCAGAGAAACGCTGAGGAAAACTTTCTCCAATTTACTCCACCAGCTCACTTCCCCCCTTCTCAACTATCCAGACAGCTCCCCCCTCCCCCCGTTTCAATGGCAGCCGTAGCCAGCAAGCAATATAAAAGTGGAGACTGACACATGACCCCAGGTCACTGAAACCGTCTTAAATGTGAGTCAGTTGTCAAGCATCCAAATGTAAATCACATGACCATGGGGATGGTCCTAAGTGTGAAAAATGGACATAAGTCACTTTTTTCAGCCCCGTTGTAACTTCAAACAGTCACTAAGTGAACTGTTGTAAGTCGAGGATTACCTGTATTGTTTTTCTTCCCTTCAATTGCATCTGATTCTCAGAGACTGTCTGGACAAGTTCCCGTTGAGGATTACTTCTGCCATTTTACCTTTTTATTGACTCCCCTCCCACCCATTCCTGGAGGACACCAATGTCTGGTTGAGCTACCAGTTTTTCAGGGCTAGCCACCAAATATTAGAAACATTTAATTGGATCCATGACGATTTAACCCATATGATATATAATTTTTCCCAGTCAGGATTCTGTGAATTTATCCAAATTCAGCTATTTACTGGGTTTAGATTCCAAATTTATATTTAATTCTGCATATATACGGATCTCTTCCCATTATAACCATACAAGTTGTTATCAGGCCTAAGTCAAGGCTGGATAGATAGATAGATAGATAGATAGATAGATAGATAGATAGATAGATATAGATAGATGAGAGATAGATAGATGAGAGATAGATAGATAGATAGATAGATAGATGAAAGATAGATAGATAGATAGATAGATGAGAGATAGATTGATGAGAGATAGATAGATATAGATGAGAGATGATGAGAGATAGATAGATAGACGATAGATAGATAGATAGATAGATAGATAGATAGATAGATGAGAGATAGATAGATGAGAGATAGATAGATAGATGAGAGATGATGAGAGATAGATAGATAGATAGATAGATAGATAGATAGATAGATGATAGACAGACAGACAGACAGACCTCTTCCCATTTTAACCATAGGAGGTTTTTATCACGCCTAAGTCCAAAGATGAAACAGTGAGATCAATCAAGACCAGTTCTTTATTTGTTTCCACAGAATCGAGACTAAAGCTAAATCTTCTAACCTAATAGATATAGCCTGGGGAATTTGAGGGTGTGGCTACCCTGAACCTTTTCCTCTGTTCCCCATCCTGTTCAGGACTGTTCAGTCTCTTGTTTTGGGCCCCTCTCTTTGGGAAGCAGTGATGTCCCCCTCCCCATTATTCCTTCTCCAGCTGCACCTTCCATCGCAGATGTTGGGCTCAGAGGGACAAAGGTCCAAAGTCACCCAATGAGTTGCATGATCAAACAGAAACTTCCTTGTTACAGTCCAACAGGTTCGCCATTGCGCCAGGCTATAAATATTTCTGAAATTCTTGATTTCCAATAAGAATTAAATTAAAAATCTGGACTCACTTATTCCGCTTGATGTTCTGGCTGAAGTTTTGAAATATTGGGATGAGCTCCAGTCACTCCAGTAGCCTTTGTAATACTTTCCATTGGGCCTTGACCGAACTTTCATCTCATATATTACTTCTGGCTCAAATTCCTTCCCCAGAAGTTTTAATCTAACAAAATTAGATTCGGTGGTCTAAGACAAGAATAAATTTGAGAATTTTGTGTTAAGTTAAACAAAAATACTCAGCTCCCTGTAACAACATTGTTTCATCTCTACACAGTGAAATCAGTGGTGAAATGTAAAATTTGTTATTACTGGTTCTGAGGGCATGGCTTGGTGGGGGGGGGTAATGTGAGTGAGTGGGCGTGGCCAACTTTTTTTTTTTACTTTTAAAAGCATTTTTTCTACAACCTTAAGAGGTTGCAGAAAAAATGATTTTAAAAGCCTCTGACGATCAGGCAGCTCAGCTGGGATCATCAGGCTTTTTAAGGCTGACGATCTCAGGCTTTTAAAAGCCTCTAACGATCCCAGCTGAGCTGTGCGATCATCAGAGGGGTTTTTTTTTACTTTTAAAAGCATGTTTTCAGCCAAAGAGGTTGTAGAAAAAATGCTTTTAAAAGTAAAAAAAAAAAAGCCTCTGATGATCACGCGGCTCAGCTGGGCATGGGCAGGGGGCACCAGGATTTTTGCTACCAGTTCTCCGAATCACCCACGGTCATCGCTACCGGATCGGGCGATCCGGTCCGAACTGGGAGCATTTCACCCCTGAGTGAAATCCTTTTTACCTTAACATGTTTTTCAAATTCGGCTGGGAATATGACAACATCCTATACTGGCATCCAGTAGATTATTTTGCATCAAGAAAATATACTAAATTGTTCATGGAAAATGATCTGATTAGTGCATGATCAGAAAGTTTGGCTGCATTCATATACCACAAACCAGTAGTGCTTTCCACTTACCTTCGCTACCGGTTCGGAACTGTGAGCGCGCGTGTACGCAGAACCTTCTGCACATACGCAGGGCGTCCGTGACAACGTCCGAGCGGGTGGGCGGATCCTCCTGCCGCTGCCGCTACCAGTTCGCCCGAACTAGGGCGAACCGGTAGAAACCCACCACTGCCACAAGTGAAGAAGTATGGAAGTCACTTCTTTATTTTATTCCATTCATAGTCTGTTCTCCAACAAAATGTTGAAGCCCAGGGACAGACCACATACGTCCATTTAAAAGATGGTTGTGTTTTTGGCTAATTTGGACAATGCTGGGAAGAATATCTAACTGAAATTCTGAAGAGCCAATAAAAGTCAATATAGTTTGTTTGTTTGTTTGTTTATGACAATTCATATGGCCGCCCACTCATTCTCAGTGACTCAGAGAGCTAATACATGTAGTCCTGGAGTTACAATCGTAATTGAGCCCAGAATTAGGGGCTCAGTGACGGCCATTGCATTGATCAAAATTTGGGTGTTTGCCAACTGGTTCATATTGATGATGGATTGCAGTGTCCTGGGATCATGTGATCACCTTTTGCGACCTTCTGACAAGCAGAGTCAATGGGGAATCCTGCTTCACTTAACAACCTTGTTACTCACAGCTGCAGTGATTCACTTAACAACTGTGGCAAGAAAGGTCGTAAAATGGGGCAATACTCAGTTAATGAATAATTTAATTTTGGGCTCAATTATAGTCCTAAATCAGGGATTATCTGTACCAACTTTTGTGAAATGCATCTGGGACTGGGACAACGTAAGACATTCACACTCTGTAGTCATACTAGGCCGACTAAAGTCTTGGATTCAAAACAGAAGGAAACGTATTAGCAGAAATAAATCTGGATCTGCATTAGTTACCCTAATACCAAATCCTGCCAGAGGCCGAATTTAAAACTAAGCAGATGCTAAATTGTAAAGTTTGGGTCAAATCGAAAGCATTGCCCGAACAATGTTGGTAAACTGAATTACAAATCTGTTTTGTTGTAATCAAGCAATGGTTTGCATTAGATACTAACAGAAACAATTTTTGAGGGGAAAACATTTCCTCAGAAAAAAGAATGTTTCTCGTTAAGTTCTCCATGTTCCCAGCCAGTTAATTATTTTCATCACGAACTACTGGGGTAAAGTTGGATATAGCAGCAGGGGGGAATTTCTAATGTTAAGAAGGAATAATTAAAGATTGATATTAGCAAGTGGTAACATTCAAATCAAATCAAGTTTATTACAGTCAAAGACCGGAGACCAGAACAAATAAAAACACTCGGGATATCCAGTTAAAAATTCTAGAATAAAATAATAAATAATAGATAAAATCTGTATTAAAATCCCAATTTGGCATCCAATCTGTTAGTTACACATGGCCTAATTTACTAGAATATCAATCCTTAAACTGTGAGGCCCGTAGTCATTAAATACTAAAATGCAAAAGAGTAGTAATCCAAAAGGGTTTGCTACATTAGTTGTGTAAAATAGCTACAGTGAATTCATCACATGTTCCAGACGAATCCCCAGTACTGCTGTGCAGAATCTAGCAACTTGCGCTGTAATCACAATCTGTTCGTCCTTAAGCTGACACTGGAGATAAGTAATGTCAGCTAGGCCAGGATACCTATCCATTATTGGACAATATGTTTTTTTTTTTTTTAAATATCTTTATAGAAAGAGCATCATTCAAATATTGATTTCCATTGGCTTTTGAAACTAAAAATCTAGCCTATACTCCCCGTTAGAAGTTAAAACAGCTATTGGCTTTTTATTCACTTTAAACTTTTTAAATTTAGGCACAGGCTAAAGAAAAATTAACCCAGCCTCTCAGAACATACTGTATTTTTCGGAGTATAAGATGCACCTTTTTCCCCCCTAAAAGGGGGTGAAAAAATAGGTGTGTCTTATACACCAAATGTAGCCCTGCCCACCCACTGGCCCCCACCCTTTGGCCTCTGGCTCACAGCAGTTACCTCCTTGCAAGCAAGCAGCAAAAAAACCCAGCTCCTTTCAGCTTCAGCACAGCCTAATTAGCACAAGTTGATTGGATCGGCCTCCTGACTCTCAGCTGATTTGCTCTCAGCTGTTTTGCGCAGGGTTCTCTGCTTGCTGCAAAGAGATAAATTGCTGGAGCAGATTTTTTTTTTTCCCCTTGTGCTAATCAAGCTATGCTGAAAACGAAAATGAAAGTAAAGCAGGCTGTTTGCTGCAACGAGGCAAAATTGCTCAGAGGCAGAGGGAGATTTCTTTTTCTTCTTTTCCTCACCAAAAAAGGTAGGTGCATCTTATACTCCGAAAAATACAGTAGTTTGTATGGCATCATACGACAAACAGGCCTTGTTTGCAGGCATATCACTGAAAGCAAGTAGAAAATGCAAAACTACTCATTCTTACTCACAGTCCAGTTTGTATTTTCTTGTCGGTAGGCTAACTGATGTATTAATTTGTTTGCAAGGAATGCGTTTCCTACATGTGGCGTTGAGAATTGAACAAGATACTCATTTGCTTTTTCCTGGTAGGTGATATTTAGACCAAAAGGTGCTTCAGGTTTAACTGCAAAGGACAATGTAAAGATAAACAGCACATACACACAGAAAATCACACACCACATGCACGGATTCTTAAACTGCTGGCTGTTTAAGCAAATTGTCAACCCAAATTCAAATGAGTCCATGCAGTAGTCTAGAACCATGATGGCGAACCTATGGCACGCGTGCCAGAGGTGGCACGCAGAGCCCTTACTGTGGACACGCACACCATTGTCAGCTGCTTTTCTGGTTTCCGGCGCGCCAGCCAGCTGGTCTTTGCAGGCACCAGAGCACCGGAAAACGGCATTGAAATGGCCCAGAAAACCACCCCCAAAAAGGCTCTTTTTTGGGTTGTTTTTCAGGCCATTTTTCAGGCCATTTTCTGAGCTATTTTCAGGCTGTATCCTGGCCCATTTTTCAGGCCATTTTTTGGGCTGTTTTTGGCCTGAAAAAGTCCCCAAAATGTCCTGAAAAACAGCCCGAAAAATGGCCTGAAAACGGTCCCAAAAACAGCCCCCAAAAAAGGGCACGTGCGCGCCACCCAGCTGGTCTTCAGGTTTCTAGCGCTCCAGTGCTCGCACATGCATGTGCGTTCCAGTTTGGGCACTCGGTGCCGAAAAGGTTCGCCATCACTGGTCTAGAAGATTACCAGTAGTCTAGAACTGTGATGGCGAACCTATGGCACAGGTGCCACAGGTGGCACGCGGAGCCATATTGGTGGGCACACAAGTGTTGCCCTAGCTCAGCTCCAGCGTGCATGCGTGCACTAGCCAACTGATTTCCAGGCCTTCCAGTCCACCGGAAGTCGGGAAACTGGCTGTTTCCAGCCTCTGGAAGGCTTCCGGAGAGATGGGGAAGGCTGATTTTGCCCTCCCCAGGCTCCTAGAAAGCCTCTGGAGCCTGGGGAGAGGGGAAAATGGGCCTACTGGGCCCACCGTGCCATCATGTGCCAAAAGCACGGGAAGTGTGGAGGGGGTCATGTGCGCATATGCGGGAGGGCGAGGCGCATTGAATTATGGATGTGGGCACAGGCACCCACGACCCCCCATGTTCCCCCAGCTTTTGGCACCCAATGGCAAAAAGGTTAGCCATCACTGGTCTAGAAGATTACTAAGGTCTAGAAGACTAGAAGACCTCCAAGGTTTCTTCTAGCCAGTGGTGGGATTCAAATAATTAAACAACCGGTTCTCTGCCCTAATGATTTCTTCCAACAACCAGTTCACCAAACTGCTCAGAAAGTTAGCAACCGGTTCTCCTGAAGTGGTGCGAACTGGCTGAATCCCACCACTGCTTCTAGCTCTATTCTCATTGATTGATAGTCCTTGACTAAGAACCATTCATTTAATGGCTATTTGAAGTTACAATACTGGAAAAAGGTGACTTATGACTGGTCCACACACTTATGTCCATTGCAGCATCCTCATGTGATCAAAATTCAGGCACTTGGCAACTGGTAGGTAGTTACAATGGTTGTGTTGTCCCAGGGTCATGTGATTGTCATTTGTTACCTTTCCAGGGGGCTCCAGTTAATGCAGGAAGCCAAAATTGCTTAAAGACCATGTGATTCACTTAACAATTACAGTGATTCACTTAACAGCCATGGGGAGACAAATGATAAATTCAGACCTGACTCATTTCACAACTGCCTTGCTTAGGAATGGACATTCTTGTCCTAACTGGGTCGTAAATCGAGAACTACCTCTCCATAAATGTGGATGACTTATTTGAGTGTGAGTAGTTAATATTTTGACCTCTTCTCCTCCTTTACTCAAACTTCATCACCTCTAGACTCAGAATCCAACCAAAAAGCAACAATTATTAAAAGAAATTATTTCTACCACATACTAGAATGCCTGTTTTCATACTTGTAAGCTACAATATATTAAAGCTGCAGTGATAGGAACATGACCCCGGAAAGCCTGATTAAACAGGGAAGCTTCCTTCTGAGTAGTTATGCATACAATAATATTCATAAATTAATCAAACTTATTTTTTGGCATGGAAGCATCATTTCAGTGTTAATTCACTGGCTAAAATACATACCTAAATAGTTAAGGAAATGATGTATTGTACTTATTTTGCATCTGGGAATCTAGAACAGTGTTTTTCAACCTCAGTAACTTTAAGATCTGAGAACTTCAATTCCCAGATTTCCTCAGTCAGCATACAATTCTGGGAGTTGAAGTCTACACATTGTAAACTTGCTGAAGTTGAACAAAATTGATCTAGAGGGCAATTGCTTTGAACTATGTACAATCTTCCACTTGTGCAAACAGATCCCTTTCCATGGTTTGGATCAACGCCATAACATTCTTCTGGCAGTAGAGATCCCATCTTCTTCCTCCAAATTTGGAAATGGAAGAACATAATTGGCCATGAGTCTTTGGACTCTGTCTTGATATAACTAAACTTCATGTTGCCCTTGTTTTGAACAGGTTCAAAAATGAATCCAAATGGATCCCACACTATACATTTGCTTACCGATATGAACAGCTTTCAATTTCCGGCAGTTTTTGCAAGGATTGGTCAAAGTGATTGTCAAGCAAACATCCAAATCACCAATAAGATCCATGCTGTCTATAGAACAATTGCCGACAAGGTGATTTTTCATGAAGCAGGGTCGGGGTTGAGTCTCATACCTGTGACAAAATATGGTGTAGCAATGAAATTTTGGAAAACCTGTCTACCCAAACTGGATCTGGAAAAAATCAAAAAGTAGGATAATATAGACCTTCAGAGACCTAGTCAGTTCATTAGAACTTACACTGTAGCTTGAAAGCTGCTATAGAATCTCATAGTTAGGAAACTGTAGTCATTGCAAGCTTCAGAGGAAGCATTGTGATTGTTTTGGTCATGTAATTGAGAGACCATGTGAGAACTTTGGGCAGAAAAATTACTTTTATAGTTTGAAAGACAAGTAAAAAATTGGTACTGAGTTAGTTTGTGTTTACTGAACAATACACAATCTTAAACTACCCAAATACAACAGCTATCCTACACTTTTCCTCATTCACTGTTTTCCAAACTAGCTGGACATTAAGTACTCTTGATGGCAAAAAGATTCTTTTAATGTCTTCTAATTTCCCCAATTGACCAAATATTATATCTGATGAATCCTCGCTTTCTACATTTCAGTATTGTCAGGTGTTCTACAAATGAAGTCATATAATCAGTGGTAGGTTTCAAAATTTTTTACTACCGGTCCTGGGGTGTGGCTTGGTGGGTGTGGCTGGATTGGTGTGGCAGGGGAAGGATACTGTAAAATCTCCATTCCCTTCCCACTCCAGGGGAAGGTTACTGCAAAATCCCCATTTCCTCCCGATCAGCTGGGACTCGGGAGGCAGGGAATAGAGGGGGGCGGGGCCAGTCAGAATTTTTACTACCGGTTCTCCGAACTACTCAAAATTTCCGCTACTGGTTCTCCAGAACTGGTCAGAACCTGCTGAAACCCATCTCTGCATGTAATATATCTGTAGTTAAAATAAAAATGCTTTGAGTTGTGTTGTTTACATATGCCCCACCCCAAAAGAGCAACTGGTTAATAAGAGTATCCTTGGGCTAGAATTATTAGCAATAAGAAATCTTTTCTGTCTTATTTTTGACATCCATTCAGTTTTATGGCAAAATCCATTTTCCTTTACCAAACTTCATAGTCCTGAAAAGCCAGGAAAAATCATGTGCTTTATCAGCTAATTAAGTTAAAAGCAAGGGCCAACTTAATAATCAGCACCATTATGCTATATACAACTTTCTTGTAAATTTCTCAGTAACGTTAACATCCAGTGGTGGGATTCAAATAATTTAACAACCGGTTCTCTGCCCTAATGACCAGCTGGGTAGGCTTGGCTTGGTGGTCATGTGACCGTGTGGGCATGGCCAACTCAACGTCACTCACGTCGATGGGCGCTTCACCTTAGCTGTTACAATGCAATAAGGGTTAATCAGAGAGGCAGTTTCTGTAAGCAGGGCAATAAAGATTAGGCTAGAAACAACACCAGAATGCTTCCTTTCTGCCTTCCTTACAGGATTAGCCCTGTAAAGCAGAAAAAACCAAAATAAGATTTCTTCCAACAACCGATTCTCCGAACTGCTTAGAAAGTTAACAACTGGTTCTCCTGAATAGGTGCAAACTGATTGAATCCCACCACTGTTAACATCCTTTGCTAAAGTATCTCAAAATCTACCCTTTTTGTTTCTATCATGAGGCTAAGAAAGTTGCAGATATAGTGTGATTTGAGGATTTATGATCTAAGACAGGGGTTCTTAATCTGCAACCAAAGACCCCTTAGGAGTTTGTGGGTAGATTTCAGGAGGTCCATGGATTTGGATGTAAAAAAAGATTACAACTTTATTTTTACTACCCTCTAACTGAAATTTAGCTTTTTTATTCAGTAATGAATGCAGGCAACTGGTTAATTTATGAACTCTAGATTCTAAAAACATTCAGAAAAATTATTATACATTGAAAAATAAAAACCAGAATATATTTGGTTTGTGCACTGTTTTCCCCAAACACATGTAATTGGTCATAGTCAACACAACTTGCATTTCAAACGTGCTTTTGTGTTTAAAAATCCATTCAAGGCATTCTAGAGCTCTAGAATTCATTGTCTGATCTCCATTAAGTCTTTCCTGTACCGATGTATTTTATTTTATGCATTTAAATATATTTTTCTGAGAAGTAATCTGTAGGTTTTACTAGACTCTAAAGACAGATTAAGTTAAGACTAGTTAAGCATTCATCCGCAGGCCAAATAAGTATCCCACAACCAATTTCTGAAGCTACAGGACCCATCCCAAATCGCATCCCCCAAATTCTGCAGCCAATTTTTTTCATTGTATTAATCTTCTAGCACCCAAGTAATAATGTTTGAACATATTATACAAGTTCTTACACAGAAAAACTGGCATTTGTCTCATTCAGGTTCATCTCTGTCCCAGTAGCATCACAAATTACGAAAGTGCTTTCGAATACTGGCATTTGAGTGAAACACTTAAAGCTGCTTTCTTGCTCATCGTCCACACAAGTACCTAAGGGGAAAGAATCACAAGATAAATCCCTCAAATTTCAGATTTAAAGCACTTTATAAGGAGCCTTATCAAACAAAGTAGACTACACAGATTCATTCCTGAAAATGAAATTGACTTCTTTCCCTCCATTTCTTCTTCTATTTAATTATTATAATGTTTAGGACATTATGTGACTTACCACCAAGAACCCAAGAATGCCTCCTCTGATATTGATGTGAGGAACTAAAAAGAAAATCCAAATGATAGGTCTCCCTTGAAGGAATACAGAAAACAAGTTGTGTGTGTGTGGTTGCATTTGAAATTCCCTTTCAAGAAACCAACAGTTCCTTCTTTTTGATGTTTTTTCAGCATCCTGTAAAACTCCTTGCTTTTCTTGTAAGCTTTGTCTGTTGAATTGACTTCATGTTAATTGATTCACTAGCAAGTAAGTTTTATTTTCTCAGTGCACTGGATGCTTTTAATTTTTATCACTTTTCTCTTGACAAAATGAGCTGTAAGCTTAAAAAGAAACGTACAAATATTTTACATACATAAAAAAAAGAAAGCGATTGCTCCCTGATTAATAAGATACTTAAAGAAAAGTGCCAACACATTCTTCTCTAGATCAAAGAATTTAGACTACTAAGAAAACTTTTGAGCAATTGCCCTTTTCTTATGACTCATGGTAATTGCCCTTCTTATTTCATCTGCATATTCCCTAGAATGCTTGCACAGCACTAACGTAAAACTTTTCAAGTGTAGGTCGCAGAGGTCATCCTGCAATGTGAAAATGTAAAGGATACTGTGGGACATAGTTTGCATACACTTTATGAAGCAGATTTTGTGGGAATTTCTCAACAACAAATGGGCATTTTCATCAAACTTCGCTCAATTAATTTTTTCCCTCATAACTTGCTGCATGGAATAGAATCATTTTGGAAATCCACAAGGACTAAATTATAATAGCAATTTTTTTTTCTTCCAGTAAATATATAAATCCACATTGAAAGTACTGAGAGCAGAGGGTAACTTTAAACCTTTTCTGAAGAGCACTTGTGATACTAACAGATTCTCATTTTAAAACCCAGTGCGAATTTGCAATATCACTTGGAAAATGGAAGAATTCTTTTTCTCCCGTGAATGGTACTTTCTCAGTCTGCTCTGTCCACTATGAGTTTACCTTAGCATAACGTTCAGCAATGCCTGCTCTTTGATACATGCCTGATGTATTGTTTATCCCATAGATCAGAGGTCTTCAAACTTGGCAGTTTTAAGACTTGTGGACTTCAACTCCCAGAATTCAGAATTCAACTCCCAGCATAGCTGGCTGGAGAATTCTGGGAGTTGAAGTCCACAAGTCTTAAAGCTGCCAAGTTTGAAGACCTCTGCCATAGATGATTGGGATAAACAGATGACATCATCTAACCAAAAGTGCATCGAACTAGCAATAATAAAGAAACTAGGTTTCTTCCTGGATATTATGCTCCTATAAATCCACAGAGCAACCCATGCCACCAGACTTTCCATGAGAAATGCATCCACATTCTATCCAAGACAATTGTGTGTATAAACCAGGTAGATGGATACATAAAACTCCCCACCACTACTAAGAAAAAGCCTATTTTAAAAGTGTTGGCTAAGTTTGAGGCTCAGCACATTAAGAAAACCAGCCATTATAACAAGGGTTAAAACTATCCATAACAACAATAGCTTATAATCATCCAAGGTTTTCTGGAACAACCAGAATTTCATAAACTCTAAGGGTTGGAACTGAAGTAATTTTAAGAAAAATATTCTTTTGGGGTGGGGATGGAAAGGGAAAGGCCTACTTGTAGGGCACCTGATGGTAACATTCTCTTAGAATAGGGATCATACTCTAGCGATCACATACTACTGAAAACATGGAGTCCTGAAGATACATTAGCTAAGCTACACAAGACTTTAAAGATGACAACCAGTACCTTAAATCACATCTGGAAGTCCACTGGCAAGCAGCTCAATTCTCACCAATTTCATCCTACTAGTGTTACATGGGCAAAACAGAGTGTGGCTAGCTTACTCAACTGCTGCATTCTAGAGCAGCTGTAGCATCCATGTGAAAATATTGTAGTAACACGTCTGGGATGTGACCCAGACATGAATGACCATGTACAAGGCAGTCATAACTGGTACATGAGATGAACTTGGGCAAAGACCCTCTTGATAACAGCTGCCAGATCCTGTTTAAACAGAAGCCATGAGTTCAAAAGAACCCCCAGATTACCAGTTCCAAATGAGGGAGTGTAACGCCATCCAGAAACCAAAGATGGAATATCCTATTCTTAGATGGTCTATGAATCCAAAACACCTTGGACTTGCTATGATTAAGCCTGAGTTTATTCCTCCCAATCCAAAACCTAGCAGGCTCCTGGCACTTGGACAGCACATGGCCTATTCAGCCTGGGGAAATGTACAAATGTATATCATTATCATAACAGATGAAATGTGATCCATGTCAATGGATGAGCCCCCCCCCCCCCAATTCATGTGGATATTAAATAGGAGAGGACAGAGAATTTAGTTGAGAGTTCACCCCACAACTGAGGCCTTAGAACTCCCGTATCTCCACTAGAACCTGTCCCACATGGGGAGGACAGTCACTATAAAATAGTGCTTCTTATTACCAATACCCAGAAACAGTTGAGGATTAATTTTATAAATAATCTCAGCTTGATTTTTGTTCTTATTACTTTGTTAACTGCCAAGGAGGTGAAGGAGAAAGCAGGAGAGAAAGAGAAAGAAGAGAGTTGTTTTTTATTTTTATTTTTATTTTTATTTTTATTTTTATTATTATTATTATTATTATTATTATTATTATTATTATTATTATTATTTACACAAAAATGACAGTATACACAGCAAACGAGATAACCATGCTGGATTTCGTATCACAAATCACTACTCGAACACTTCTCAAGCGTTTAGGACTGCGTGATGTATTGGTGGATTATGCAAGCAGATCCCAGTAAGGTGGCCTTCTGCAGCTGAGCAATGGTGATCTTGTCAGCGCCAATTGTTTTTAAGTGCTTGCCTAGGTCTTTAGGCACAGCACCCAGTGTGCCGAGTACCACTGGGACCACCTGCACTGGTTTATGCCAGAGTCCCTGCAGTTCTATTCTCAAGTCCTGATATCTGGTGACTTTTTCAAGTTGTTCCTCGTCGATTCTGCTGTCACCAGGTATGGCAATGTCAACGATCCACATTTTTTTCTTCTCCATAATCGTGATATCTGGGGTATTGTGTTCTAAAACTTTGTCAGTCTGTATTCGGAAGTCCCACAGCAGTTTTGCATGCTCATTTTCGACCACTTTTTCAGGCTTATGATCCCACCAGTTCTTTGCTACAGGCAGATGGTAGTTGTGACACAAGTTCCAGTGGACCATCTGAGCGACTGTGTTGTGACGTTGTTTGTAGTCAGTCTGAGCTATTGTCTTGCAACAGCTCAGTATGTGGTCAATGGTTTCATCCGCTTCTTTGCAGAGTCTGCATTTGGGGTCATCAGCAGATCTTTCTGTTCTGGCTTTGATTACATTTGTTCTGATGGCTTGTTCTTGGGCTGCAAGAATCAGGCCTTCTGTCTCTTTCTTCAATGTTCCGTTGGTCAGCCATAATCAGGTCTTTTCCTTGTCTACTTTTCCTTGGATCTTTTCAAGGAACTGTCCATGCAGTGCTTTATTACACCAGCTGTCAGCCCGAGTTTGCATCGCTGTTTTCCTATATTGATTCTTGGTTTGCTGCACTTTGAACAGCTTCCTATTATTATTATTATTATTATTATTATTATTATTATTATTAATAATAATAATAATAATAATTTATTTATTTGTCAAACACTTATAAGATAACAGATATAAGTATAAACACGATTATGAATACAGGAAATGGATACAAATAAATGGGGACAGTAGGACAGGGACGGTAGGCACGCCCCTTACAGACCTCTTAGGAATGGAGTGAGGTCAACAGTAGACAGTCTAAGGTTAAAGTTATGGGGATGAAATCACAGAGTCAGGTAGTGCATTCGAGGCATTGACCACTCTGTTGCTGAAGTCGTATTTTCTGCAATGAAGTTTGGAGCGGTTTACCTTGAGTTTGTATCTATTTTGTGCTCATGTATTGTTGCAGTTGAAGCTGAAGTTTTAGTTTTTCATTGTCTGTTTTATGAATTAAGTTTATTGCTTTTGGCTTTAAGAACTGGGCATTCTGTCTAATTACCATGTAATTTGCTAAATATAACCCTGCATAGGGGAGATTTTTTAGAAAAGGGAACATACGTCTCTAGCTTGAAACTTGCCTTTACATAAAACCCCTTTGTACAGTGCCTTGTCTGAAATTAATCAAGAATCCTGTATACAAAAAAGTTTCTTGTGCCTGCATATTTCATTAATTGTGTATGATGCGATGCTGTTATAAACATTTGGTGAGTCTCCCCATTGCAGAGACATAATGTTGCATTTTTCAGAGTAAGTTTCTCATCCTAGCCCAAGAAAAATAAACTTTAAAGCACCCAGGTTAAATGCACATCCCTAATTAAAGACAAAGTGCTAGTTGCTTCCTCCACCAATTGTCCCTGACCATCTTAATAAGATTATTAAGGGCCTGAAAGAATATGACACACAGCTGAATACTGAAAAATTCTGGTTCTTGCTGGGTACTAAAATTCAGGTTTTATTTAGCAGCATTTTTCAGCTGGTGGCTTGAACCTTTTTAAGAATGCTGATTTATACAATAACAATAATAAAATCTAAACTTACATTACTTTTTGTTGGCAAAATTTAGGAAAACAAGCACCAGCGTTATACTCTGAAAGAAAAATGAACTCTGTGCTATATTTCTAATAAATGTTGATTGAGGGTTAGAACACCAGTGCCTACGTCTGATAATCGTGCAGCAGTTTGTTGTTTCAAGTTTAAGTTTAATGTGATTTATTGTTGTATCTATACACACTGATTGTAAATTAAACTAAAAACAAAAGTATACAATAAATTAGTTCATCAAGGTGGCAGGATATTTGTCTTTCAAAATACACAATAACAAGATTCTTTGCATTACATATTTGGAAATTTTCACTTCCCTTGTTTGGAATTTTTGCAAGAAGGAAAAAGTTGGAGTGACTTACCATATCCTATAGATGTTTCCGACCCAGAGCCACTTTCTGAAGAAGTAAAAGGAAGGAAGATAAAAAAGTAGGTGTACACAATCAGATTTGGCTTTGCCATCTTTTCACGTTCACATTCTTTCTACCTTGCAGGAGAAGAGAAACTAAATATGAGAAACATCAGCTTGCATTGTGATTTTATAACTCCTTCTAGAGTGCACTCATGAATAAAGTAACCACAGGCAACGGGAAGTAAAAACATACAGACAAGTAGGCAGGGGGTGAAACAGGAAATCTACCCCAAAAAGTGCTTGTGGAGGAGTGAACTAAGATCAAAGGATACTACTATGGTCTGTGTAGTCTTAAGTACTATGAAAAGTGCTCTCCTAATCAACTTCTCTTTATTGAAGTTCCCATCTTGAACATCTCATTGAGATGGAACTAAGATTTACTATAAGTTAGGCAAATCTATTAACTTCATTTCCTCATCCATTCTCTCTTTCTCTCTCCCCCTCTCCTCTCCTCTGTCTCTTTCTCTCCCTCTCTCTAATTTAATTTTGAGGTTTTTCTATCTCATCCATGAAGAAAGTGGCAAAGTTTGGTTACGAACTCCCTCCTATGGTTGTTAAATATCAGCAATGTTTAGGGAAAAAAAAAACCTATTTCATCCAAAGTCTATGTCAAGGCTCCGATTAACGAACTCAAGCAAATCAGAAATCTGAGGCTTGGCTCCTTCTCAAAGGTCTTCTTTAATGAGTATATCATATCGGCACAGCTTCAATGGCACAGCTTCAATGGAAACCCAAATCTAAATCTTTCCCGCTGTTTCAGTATAATTAAACTAGGAAATAACCCCAAGTGTCATAGGTCACGTTGGCCAATTGGGTTAACTGACGAGCTCTTCAGGCACTCCTTCCCCCAACCTTATCTGTTGCCAGTAGAGATGACCTTGGTTCTCATGAGAAAGCTCTTTGTTGTGTCTAGTAATGCATTTCAACCTCCTTCCCCCCCACTTCCCCCTCTGTGTGGCAACTGAGGAACAGAAAATAGCTGCGTCCAGTTCGAAGTCGACAGTCTAGTTAACTAGGCAAGCATTTGAACCCAGTAGATCCATGCAAAATCCTCTTTTGAATGTTTTGGGGTCCCCCCCCCATTGGTTTGTTTTTAAATCCCAGGTTCTCTCCACCAATCTTGAACATGCATTTGCAAATGTTTGCTATGTTTTTTTAAGAGTGAAGGAAAGAGCAGCTTCTACCATATCAACTCACATATGGGACAGGCCGTCCAGAAGGTCCATCAGTAGAATGTATGTAGGGCTCATGAGGGTGAAAGTGGCCCAATTCCTTTTTCTCCCTGTCTGCATGGATTTGGAGGAGAGTTTGCTGTATTCAAGTCAAATAATACAGCTGTACTTATGTTCAAATCAGTGGGAGATTATCTCTTCTTCCCTAAAAGTGGGAAGGTCAAAAAGAGTTTCAGTTCTAGTATCTACTGTATCTCTAATGTCCTTTAGTGCATTCAGCTGAACACCTTGATACCACACTCACATGGTCTTCTTTATTGGAAAGTTCTAGGAAGTGTCAATGGAGATTCTCAATCATCCAGGCCAAGGTTGCACCAGAAATGCTTTTCCAAAAGGCAACAGGACTTCCTTGGCTTTTTCCTTGAAAACGTTTCACTTCTCATCCAAGAAGTGGAACTGAAGAAGCTAAACCAGCTTGGCTTTATCATCTGTAGACCAGAACTTTGTGAGGAAGGCTTAAAAGACAGAAATGATTGCTTTTTTCTCCTTCACAGGCTGTTTTGTAATCTTTCCTGTCAGTCAAATAACGAGAGGTCTTCAGGGCAATCAAATGATCGGCAGGGTTTTGGAAAGAAAACAGTTTCTCACTGAAATTTTTAAAATCCTTTTTATCTAGGTTTTTTTGTTAATGTTTATAATGTTTTAAATTTGAACGCTTACTGTTTTTAATGCTTTAACAATTTCACTGTTGTATATTGTTGTTTTATTATGCTATAAACCACCCAGTCACTTGGCAATAGAACGGGAGACATATAGATTTAATAAATAAATAAATAAATGATCACTTCTTTCCAACATTTTACAGGTAGTCCTTGGCCTATGACCATAATTGGGATGAGAATTTCTGTGGTTAAGTAAAGTGGTTGTTAAGTGAATTGTGTCAATTTTACAGACTTTTTTTTTTTTGGCCATGGTTGTTAAGCAAATCATTACAGTTTTTAAGGGACTCAAACGGCCAATGGAGCAATTCCAGCTTTCCCCATTGACTTTGCTTGTCGGAAGCCAGCTAGAACATTCCACATGGTAATCACATGATTCTGGGACACTGCAACCGTCATAAAGACATGCCAGTTGTCAGGTGCCCAAATTATGATCACGTGATCATAGGAATGATGCAATGGTCGTAAGGGTAAGGGCCAGTCGTAAGCCGCCTTTTTCAGTGCCTTTGTAACTTTGAACTGTTGCTAATTGAACGGTGAGTTGAGGTTGAGGCTAAGTTGAGGTCTATCTATATATATCCTGTTTTCCCCAAAATAAGACATCCCCTTATAATAAGTCCAATCGGGCTTTTCAATGCATGGCAATAAAGCCAAGTGCTTATTTCAGGTTCAAAAAAATATAAGACAGGGTCTTATTTTCGGGGAAACACGGTACTTGCTTGGCCAGAAATAAGTATGTGGTCCTCTTTTTCCCAGGTAGAAAGCAATCATAGATAGGGCAGGGTAGTAAGATGTCCTTCTCATAGTCTTCCAGAGCTTTAGCTTCAAAGCTTAACAATTGTTTTAGGAGCTTCACAAGCGTCATAAAGCTCAGTGATAGCTTTAGGAACTTCATAATAAAGAAAGAAAAACTATGTGCAACATGTAGCTTTGTCCTCATATAAATACAGTAATGTAACATTTTTAATAAGGACAAAAAAACAGAACCCTGCAGGACTTATTTACCCAATCTCTCATTCTCTTGGTACAGATTTGAGACTGCTTATGCAGCACATGTGGCCTTGTGACACACATTTACCTGTGGTTTGTAATACTGCTTACAATTACTTAATCCGAAGAACCACAGGGCTGGAAACGTTAACTAAAACAAATCAGTGTATGGGGCCCACATTTTTCATCTGAACCAGATTTTTGTAGGGTTTTTTTTTTCTTCATGATCTGATCAGAAAGTTTTCTTCAAGTCCTTAACTGCCGGTCCTAATACATTAATGTAGCTGATTATTTTAAATCAACAAGCTTGATTTCACTGTCTCTGAATTTAGCTTATTTTTGTCTTTATGCTTCATTTTTTTCTCCTTTTCCCTTCAGTTATACATTCCCAATCCATGCTCCTTTGCCATCGCTCATTTAGAGAAGTCATATCCACAGGAGTATCTTCAAGGAAGAGGGTTGATCAACAAATTGAGACAGCAGATGCAATCGAAACCCTAATTCTTTCAATGTGTGTATCATGCCACACATTTAAAAAAGATGCAGGGGTTTAATTGTGAGGTCATAACAACTTTTAAAAAAAAAAATCACACTCCACCCTGCTCCTGGAATGGTTGTTCCTTCATGAGGTTACTCAGAGCAAGCCAGGGTAGATATACTTCCCTTCACTATACCCTTGTTTTAATTTCTCAAACAGTGAGATTCACCCCATGTGAGGCTCCTCGAAAGTTAGAGATCCAAAAAAGAATGGCATTAGCACACATTTATTATTTAAAAAAATTGGAACTGCTTGTTCTACAGAGGAGCTGTAACCTTGCCATTTTTATTACACCATTGCTTTTGGGCCTGGCTACAAACACTATGGGTGCTGTCCAGATATTAATATAATCCAATTTGATATTCATTTCGGAGAGAAAGTTTGTAGCCTGGTAACCAGCACACCTTCTAGATTTAATTTTCAGGTGCTAACAGTTGATAGGGAAGCACAAAGTCCATGTTGCTGTTCCTAACTCATGATCAACCTTTAAAGTAGGATTCAGTCAGGAATATGACATCAGAAGTAACTCACAAGAAAACTCATATTAGCTTCTAGTATCTGGGCTGAATGCTTACTCTTTTTACAAAAGGTCTTAAAATAAAACAGGATTTTCATTCAGAAACCAGAACTTTTTCCCCTCTAGGAACTACATACTTATTTCTTAATTTTTATTAGCCCTTAAGGATTTTATGGTATACCCTAGGTCCCACTGACATCGTGAATGAGCAGGAATTTTGCTTTCTTCCCCCGCCCCCAAAAGTAGGTGTGTTAAGGCTCCCAAACATTTAATGTATGTATTATAAGCCCCATATTATTATTTTTTATTACAAGAAAAAAAAAAACCTACCGTCTTCAAAGACCATTTTCTGAGGGTAAAATCTTGATGAAATTAAATAGTTGCAAAACTTGGCTGATACATGTAGGTAGATCTTTGGCTGCAAATTGTCTGTTTTTGTGCAATGGCACTGTTCAGTTTATGCAGACAATCATTAGATAATTGCACTGCATTAGTAGATTTAAACAAGGGCTAGAAAAGTGATCAGTAACACAGGGAGGAGCCTAAGGCATGGCACACGGGTAGTTTTAACTCTGTACATAATGCCCTTACAAGAAAGCCATTTTACCTAGCATTGTGTGATATTGTGTGCTCCAAAATAAAACTTATTTGGTTTGGAAATGCCTTTATTGGAGTTGCTGCAGCAAGAAAATAAGCTTTGTAAAACCATATGGGTTGTAACATTGGGAGAATGAAGATGGAGGGAAGCAGAATATAATCCAGAAGAAGATAAAACATCTGTGCCATTCTCTATTTTAATATTTTTATTTGTACTTATTTTAATATTTTTATTTGTACTTCAGTGCTTCTGAGCTGTGATAACTATCACTATATCTGCCCCCTCAGAATAAAAGTAATCTAATTTTAAAGACCTGGGTGGCCCCACATGAAATTCTAATTGATTTGCTTTTAATATATGTGGTACCTTGCTCAATAGTAGTAACTGTGAGAAGGATCTTGGAGTCCTAGTGGAAAACCATTTAGATATGAGCCAGCAGTGTGCGGCAGCTGCCAAAAAAGTTAACACAGTTCTGGGCTTCATAAACAGAGGGATAGAATCAAGATCACGTGAAGTGTTAATACCACTTTATAATGCCACACTTGGAATATTGCATCCAGTTTTGGTCGCCACGATGTAAAAAAGATGTTGAGACACTAGAAAGAGTGCAAAGAAGAGCAACAAAGATGATTAGGGGATTAGAGGCTAAAACATATGAAGAACGGTTGCAGGAACTGGGTATGCCTAGTTTAATGAAAAGAAGGACTGGGGGAGACACGATAGCAGTGTTCCAATATCTCAGGGGTTGTCACAAAGAAGAGGGAGTCAAACTATTCTCCAAAGCACCTGACGGTAGAACAAGAAGTAATGGGTGGAAACTAATCAAGGAGAGAAGCAATTTAGAACTAAGGAGAAATTTCCTGACAGTTAGAACAATTAATCAGTGGAACAACTTGCCTGCAGAAGTTGCGAATGTTCCAACACTGGTAATTTTAAAGATGCTGGATAACCATTTGTCTGAAGTGGTGTACGGTTTCCTGCCTGGGCAGGGGGTTGGACTAGAAGACCTCCAAGGTCCCTTCCAACTCTGTTATTCTTTTCTATTCTAATAAGAGGAGAAGAGTTGGAAGATGCAGTTGCTAGATCGGCTCGTACTTTTCACATCTTGATGGTGATAAGATAGATGAAGAAGGATATTGAGGTTTCAACACTGATGAAGGGCTGTAATAGTTGTGGCTGTCTAGAAGTAGCTCTTAGTTTAAGGTGAAGTGGTTATTCTGAAATATGTAAAATGATACATATGCTTACTGAAAATGTTTATATAAAATTCCACTGTACATACCACACATAACACAGCAATATGCAAACACAAGGAAATGCCACTTCATCCAAGTGATTAACTTTCATATCAATACCTAAACAGTGCTTCTTAAACTTAACAGCTTTAAGACATGTGGTTGCCAACTCTCAGAATTCCCCAGCCAGCATGTTGGTTTTGGAATTTCGTGAGTTGAGTCCAAACATCTTAATTTGCTAAGATTGACAAACACTGTCCTAGACTTCTACGACCTGTAAGTTATATGACCCTATAGGGCAGGACTGTCAAACTTGCAGTCCACTGGCCCGATGCATCACTCTGGCCACTTCCCCCCGGGAAGGGGGGGAAGTTGCGAAACATCACATGACGATGCTGTGACGATGCAAGTTTGACACCCCTGTATAGGGAGTTTATGGCTTTTCAGATATGTAATTATGCTCATCACATACTCACTGCTTATATTGGCTGGGACTTCTAGACATGCTCATTCAAAAACATTTGGAATCTGAAATCCCCTAACTCAAACCACAAACAAATGAATTTTTATTGTTCCAGGATATTGTCGGGTACCCTTTTTTCATTCTCTTTTATTATTCCATATAGTTCATGCCGTACAATTTGCTTTTACAGGAAGATCAATATATTATTTATTTTAAATTTTAGATTTTTTAAAATCCTATCTTTATTATTTTTATAAATAACTCAAGGCAGCAAACATATTAATACATTTTTCTCCTCCTATTTTCTCCACAGCAACAATTCTGTGAGGTAAATTGGGCTGAGAAAGCGGCTGGTCCAAAATCACCCAGCCAGCTTTCACACCTAGGGCAACAGAAGAACTCACAATCTCCTTGTTTCTAGCCTGTTGCATTAACTACTAGATCAAATTGGCTCTGCATAAGAAGAAATTCCTTTGGCATAGAACTATCAGTATACCCCATGTATTTGACAGTGAAGATATGGAATAAAATAAAAGTTAGGAAATAATTATCTGAATTAGAAAGTTGCAAAAAAAATGAAATAATTTAAAAAATAGAATTATATGGAAGCTCCATTTCACCCCTTACAAAGCAGTATAAAAACAAAGTCATACTACCCATAAAAATGGCTTCATTAAGTCTAATCATATATCAATCATACATGGTATCTGTAATTAGGCTATAGTATTTCTAGACTGCAGGGGATTTTCTTCCGATTTAGCAAGCTTGATACTAGAAAAATAATGGCATTGCTCATGTTAAATGTTCATATTGTTTGTCATTAAATGTCCTCTCATAAAAGTGTACATTGTAAATGCGATAAGTATTTATTTGCAAAAATATTTAGATCCTAATGTTCCCCATTGAAAAAACCCATCTAGGTTTGTTTAGTGCATGAAATGGGCCTCGTCCTTTTAGACAATCTCAAGAATCAAAGGGAGGGACAATCTATAATGGAGGACCCAAAGGTGCTGTTTCAGGAGGCAACTGGATTTTCTTGTTTTTTCTTTGAAGACGTTTCGCTTCTCATCCAAGAAGCTTCTTTAGCTTTGACTGGATGGGAGGGAACGGAAGGATTTATATTCCATGATGACCAGCTGTCTGCAAGGAATATAAATCCTTCCAGTCCCCACCATCCAGTCAGAGCTGAAGAAGCTTCTTGGATGAGAAGTGAAACGTCTTCAAAAGAAAAAAACAAGAAAGTCCACTTGCCTCCTGAAAAAGCAACTTAGGGACAACCATGACCTGGATGACTGAGAATCTCTACAGACTATAATGGAGGAACCATCAAATTGTATTGTTTTGAACCCAGGCCAGCAGATTGAAGGAAGGATATTGTCAGGAAAAATATGCATGGCAGCTCTGGAACTGGAACTCTTGTCTTCATCATTCTGGGCAGGTGCGCAGGAAAGAGCTGTTTTCCAAAGCTATCTTGGTCAGTCCTTGTGCCCTGTTTTCCTGGTGTAGCCATGGGGGACACCAGCAGAACAGCAAAACAAAGGAATTTATTTTTGCCAGCCAATCAAAAATATGAGATAAGAGGTCATACATTCTGTCTGCTATCTTCTTCTCCGTAACAGCATCCACAGCATTGTGCAGACAATCTCTTAAATTCACAAGACTATAGTTGTACCATTTCAGATTATGAAATAGTTGCGATTGTTTGAAAAATTTGTCTGAATCACCCATCGGCTTCAATTAAATCCATGTTTATTTAAAAGAGAATGCACACAAACCCATTTTTGTTCTAATTAAAAGACACAACTCTACAAGTGAGTAAGAATTAACCCAACATCTAGGCCATTTGGGAAATACTTCTGTGGTGCTGAAAAAACAGTTGCAGACTTCCTTCCCCCGCCCTAATTTTAACTTCTTTATAATGTGATGTTATCTCCATTAAATGGTTGAATTTGGGCTGCTCGCTGCAGAATCATTTTAAAATCCTATGGAAATAAAGAGAAAAATGAATCAGAAAGATGTAACTATATAGCTACCTGATTGCTTTGATCAACAAACCATTGATTTGGTTACCAAAGCAGATTTTTTCATAGCATTAAAAAAATAACATCCCACAAAAATGTATGACTTCTAACGGATACATATTAATTTAAAATCTTTGCTTGTGGTAAAAAACTAAAGAGCAATACATCCAAATGCATAAAGAATAGATTGTGTCATGACACCATATTTCATCCTTCTGATGAAATAATGGCTTCCTCTAGATTAGTGTTTTTCAACATTGCCAACTTTAAGATATGTGGTCTTCAGCTCCCAGAATTCCTCAGCCAGTATGGACAAGCATGTTTGAAAAACACTGGTTTAGATGCCTCTGAATACACAAGAGGAAATAAAACTATTTCCCATCCATATTGTTAGGGAGGTCCTTTTACTGAATGAAAAGATATGGTTTCATTTTCTCTTATTTTTAAAGCCACAAATTATTCTCTTATTATCAAACTTGCTATGCTCAGTTACACTGGAATTTATTTTATTATGAAGTTGCTTTATAAAAATATAGGAAAGTATTTCAGGAAAATAACTTACATTGTTGCTAAAAACATGTGACAGTTTAAATTAACTGAAACATAAATCACATTAAAACAGGAAAATATTTTTAAAATATGTTTATTTATATTCTACACCAACAAAGGCAAGGTTAGTTTTGGATAATGCAGGTAGAAATAGAATGTAGAAGTTTTCTGCATTCAAGGTAATTTTCTTCTAAACAAACACAGGATTGAAAACAAACAAATCCATCTTAAATCTGCAACAACCAACCAATAACTCTACCTTTGTTGGTTCATATTTTAAAAACTGTTATTTGTGGGTGGAAATGTTATCTTTTGTACCCTTTGAACACTAGCATCAATGTTTTCCATCTCCCATAACATGCCAGACCTTTGTCCCTGACCCAGGGTAATGTTCCATCTGTCCAGTAAATAGTCTGTAAAAAAAGCAGACAGGTAAACAAACAAACAAACAAACAAACAAAAACAAAAAGCCTTCCTCTCAGTTTGGGTTATTCCAAGTACAAAATCAAACTCTCGGTGGAAGAAAAAGGTAAGCATCTGCAGAGGAAAGATTGAGACAGAGGAATAGGAAAGAGGGATTCTGAAGGAATACGGAATGTGTGTGTGTGTGTGTGTGTGTGTGTGTGTGTGTGTGTGTGTGATTGAGTGTATCTTGGCGTACACAATACAGAGTAAGCAAAATATGCTGCAAACAATACAAAGAAATATCATCTCTCATTAGGTTTTCAATACGCTTATGTCCTAACAATCTTATCACTCAGGTGATTTCACATTGCGTACCGATAATCTTATTAGAATTCAGTCCCACCTTTCTAACCATTTTAACATGTTTTAAAAAGCAAAATAAAATGGGTCTTGTTCAGAACTAAGAGGGCTATGTTTCCATGAACCTTCTACTATCCCACCGGGGCTGGGGACAGAGTACAATAACATGTATCATGACATCACCATGCAAGGCATATAATTTATATCAGGGCTATCAAACTCCCGGGCCATGAGCCGGATGCATTATGTGCTGGCCACGCCCACGCCCGGTAGAGCGAAGAGGGAAAAAGTTCTGATACATCACGAGACGCTGCTGTGATCACGTGAGTTTGACACCCCTGACTTATATCATTGGAGCAGATCTGGTGCCAATGCATAACTGAATTATTTGAACAAGGACATCCTGATACCTGTCATCATCATTGTACATGCTACAGTATATTGGCCCCATAGAAGACTGGTGAGCAGCTAGTGCTTATTCCCTTTTGCACATACAGGAAATACCTGCGCCGAAAGGATTAGCCAATGAAGGCCCTCTTGTGTATCTCAAATTCCTCCACAGGGCACTTAGAAGTTTTATTTAACAGAGCTTTGCGAATTGTACCCTGGTGTTTTACTGGATTGCTTCTTCTCTGTATTTCTACTTGCCACTATTCAGTTAAAGTAGAGGCACCTGCTCTCTAATTTCACACCTGCCAAGGGAAGGGGAATAATAGATACCTAAGAGCTATCTTCTGATAAACAGAGGGGCACTCCCAAGAAATTGACAAGATGTTATCACAGCACCAATTTTGCATCAAAACTGCATTAACTGCCTCTCCTCCCACAACCAAAAAAAACCGAAACATTGATTCATGGGTCGGGGTGAGAATTGTTTGTACCGGCTATAAGTAAGTTATTTTAGAAAAAGTCCTTACCACACTGGAATCCTGATACACATTTATTCCTATGAATGAATGGCATTTGTAATCACAAACAATTCTCCCCAACACACACATAAACCTTTTTTTCAGTCAGCTACAATGGGTCCTCATTTTACTGACTTGAATGGAAGGATAGAAGGCTGAGTCAACGTTGAGCCAGTCAGGACTGAACTCCTGGCAGTGAGCAGAGTTAGCCTGCAATACTGTATTTTAACCACTGTGCCACAATGGCTTTTATAACAATATGTGGGAAAGACCTTGGGAGATAGGGTGAAGAGTTGCTGCCTAGGAAAAAGTCAAATAAAATGCATCATAGCCCTCAGCTGGATAATGGGCAGAGCAAGTAGAGCCTTGGTAGTACAGGGGTTTAAGGCACCCTGTTATTAAGCTTATTAAGACCAGCTGCCTGCAATTACTGCAGGGTTCGAATCTCGCCAAGGCTCAAGGTTGACTCAGCCTTCCATCCTTTCTAAGGTAGGTGAAATGAGGACCCAGTTTGTGGGGGCAATAAGCTGACTTTGTATAAATATACAAAAGGATGAAGGCTATTGCTGAGCACATTGTAAGCCGCCCTGAGTCTTCGGAGAAGGGCGGCATATAAATCAAAATTAAAAAGAAAAAAAAGTAGATAAGAAGAGACCCCCTCTAATTTCTTGGACTCTAAATGAAACAGCAGAAGAAACTTACTTTCATATTTGCAAGACTTGGTTAATGTAGCTTTACAATAAAATAGAATTAGCTTATCTGGTCGTGTTTCCTGTCTGGTTTATCTGGTAATGCTGACATCAATTTTGCAAGTCTCGAAGCACAATATTGTGCCATCTTCTTTACAGCCCAAGAAACTAGGAAGGGTCCCTTTTGAGACTCTTGCCCTGCCCACTATCAAGTTGGGGACCATGCTGTCTCTTAGGCAGCATTTGTCGTGGTCTGCCAGCAGCCTGCAGACCTGGCAGCGGAGTCGGACAGTAAGGAGGCTGGGGAGGACAATGGGCCAGTCCTGGAGTCAGGGGAAGGCCCGGACGACGGCTCTGCGTTGGAAGCAGAGATGGGGCCAGGGCCATCTGGGAGCGATGCTCGGACTCCGGAGCATCCAGAGGTGGACAGCAGAGAGGCAGAGGAACAGGAGGAGCCTGTTCCTAGTGCACGCATGCGAAGTGCTGCCAGAAGGCAAGAGCAGCTGAAGCAAAAAGGACAACTCGGGAGTAAGGCCAGAAGATGATTGGCCACTCCCATAAGGCTTAAAAGAGCAGCAAAGAGCCGTTGGGTTCTTTGTAGAAAAGCAACGTTGATTCCAGTGCTTCTTGTCAGTGTCTCTTGAACTTTGTGGGGGTTTTGCCAGGAAAAGCCTTTGGCAGGTTGCCAAAGACATCAAAGGTTGGTGATAAGGCCGAAGGATTTGTTTTGGACTAAACTGAGAATGAATTAATTCTCAGCTGTTTTAATAAAATAAGTTTGTTCAGGACTGAATTGTGTTTGGTAATCACTACTTGGGCCTCGGTCACAACAGCATTTCCTTATTCCATTCTCCCCCATACCGGCTTTCCTACATACCATTACAGATTCCAAGGACCTTCTATTTTTGATCCTGGATGGGTGCACTGCCCTACACAGACCTTGTGCAGAGTTTGGGGCTCCTCCTAGACATTTGGGGGGTAACTGAGGAGCAGATAGCAGCTGTAGCTAGGAGAGCCTTTGCTCAACTTTGGGTCCTTTTCCCAATAGACACACAAAAAAAGGAGAGAAATAATACATATGTACACACATCAATTTCACCCTGCTTGTTTCACTTGCTTATTTGCAAGTGCAAACTGCAAAATTTGTCAGTTAACATTTCCTTATAAGACCTAAATCTTAAGAGTCAGGAAAAGACCTCAAGCAAGAATCCCCTCCACCAAGAAAACGATATGCAGCGTCTCAAATTTTAACAGGCCCTAGCAGTGCAAAGCTTTAGAGATCCCTGTTAGATCACATAGGTAGGTACAATTGTCATGTAGGTTAATTTCATTCATCACTAATAAAATAAGCCAGTGAGAACCAGTTCACTAAATCCTGAACTCTGCTGTCTCCCCATGAAGTTAAACAGTGAAGAAGGAGCTTGGGGGAAGGGACAGTCTTTGAATTTCTCCAGAAAGAACAGCTGTTGTATGGAAGGCAAAGAAAAAATCAAAACATACCCAAAATCCTAGCACAAAAACTTCTAGGATACAAGTAGAAATCTAAGAGTTTCATGAGTTTTACAAGTGGAAGGTTACAAGTTGGTAACCTATTCAGAAGACCTATAGTTCTGCAGACTTTAAGTTTAGTTTAAGGTATATCTCAAATACTAGAAAGGAAAAGACATTTTTGTTATTTCAGCTTTTCTGCTGTAACTCTGATTGGGAATGGATGGAAAGGTAATGGCAGCAAATGCCAGTTGAAGGCAAACATTGCAATCTTAATTGTCCTGGTTGGGTGGAGCTTGGTGATAAGAGAGAACCCATACAATAGAAGAACTAACTTAGTAGAGGTTCAGCCATATAGAAACTGAGCTGGAAATAATTATCTCAGATCTCCAACACCACTGATCTTGTATGAATACAGAGACCTGGTTTCAGAGTGGTACACAATCTAGATCAGGGGTCTCCAACCTTGGCAACTTTAAGACTTGTGGACTTCAACTCCCAGAGCTTTGCTGGCTGAGGAATTCTGGGAGTTGAAGTCCACAAGTCTTAAAGTTGCCAAGGTTGGAGACCCCTGATCTAGAATATGCTCCTGTTGGAGGTAAGGTCTGCCCTATTCTCTTGGTCTTTTGGAAGAGGCTGAAAACTTGGCTTGCCACTTGACCTGGAGACTTTATAGGGTCTGCTACTTTGGGAGTGGCTAATGGGGTGGAGATGATCCCTACTCCAGGCCACTTATCATCTTCATTTTTAACTTTTTTTTATTTAATTCTCCTAATTTTAATTGCTCTGTATTCTTTGTTTACTTTTCATTATATTGTAAGCCACCTAGAGTTGTTGTATTCATGAGAGAGGTGGCATAAAAATTTAATTATTAATCCTCCTCTTCCTCGGAATAGTTCCTTGGACAATAGCAGTATGTTTGGATTACCTGATTTTATAAAACAGAGTCATCTGCTTCTTTACATTGTTTGGCTGGGGATATGAAAGCTGAAAAGCTTTGCTACTGATGTTCTAATTTGTATTGTGTTCTACTAGGAATGAGTCAGACTTCTTGATTTTACTGCTCAAAGTGCTTATCTCTTTGGGTGCAGGCGAAAAGCAAGATGCATGCCACATCTGTACCCAGCAAACAAGCCACAATATTTATTGGTAGCAGTGTTTTGACCCATAATGAATTGCAAGATGCGTAGGCTGTATTAGAAGCCACTATCACCTTCATAGGAACAACATGCTATATTTCTCCTCTGATTTTGTCAGCTTTGCAAGTGGCATAGCTTTCACCTTTCAAACCACACCTTCAGTTTGCTCAGATTAATCTCATAAGAGATCTCTGAACGATACTGCTCTGTTGATTTTGTTTTGTTTTGTTTTGCTTTATTCTTAAACGATAAGGTTTTTATTTGCAATGTCATTTGTTTTATGTGGTTTGGAGGAATATCTTATGGGAAAGGGTGGATAACAGGGCTTTTCAATCCAATGACAATTTTTACTCCTCCCCAGCTGAATGAGAAACGCAGAAGGGGGAGCAGAAAGCAAATTCTTAGCTTTGGGTTCAAATAATAGGTGCACCAAATTTGGACATTAACCTTTCCACTGCTACCAACCCATATCTTGAATGTGTGTCTTATTTTCTTTGCCACAAAAAAAAGGATGTAAGTTTCTCCCCAGGTTGGAATTAAGATTGCTGGGAGAAATATCAACAACCTCAGATATGCAGATGATAACACTCTAATGGCAGAAAGTGAAGAGGAACTAAACAGCCTTTTGATGCGGGTGAAGAAGGAGAGTGCAAAAGTTGGCTTGAAACTCAACATTAAGAAAACTAAGATCATGGTATCTGGCCCTCTCAATTCCTGGCAAATAGATGGGGAAGAAAAGGAGGTAGTGACAGATTTTATTTTCCTGGGCTCCAAGATCCCCACAGATGGGGACTACAGCCAAGAAATTAAAAGACGCTTCCTCCTGGGGGGGGTGGGAAAGCCACGGCAGTTAGATAGATGAGCCTTGGTAGTACAGTGGTCTAAGACACCCTGTTATTAAGCTGGTTATTAAGACCAACTGCCTGCAATTACTGCAGGTTCGAATCTCGCCAAGGCTCAAGGTTGACTCAGCCTTCCATCCTTTCTAAGGTAGGTAAATTGAGGACCCAGTTGTGGGGGCAATAAGCTGACTTTGTATAAAATATACAAAAGGATGAAGGCTATTGCTTAGCACATTGTAAGCCGCCCTGAGTCTCCGGAGAAGAGCGGCATATAAATCTTTTTTTTTTTTTAAAAAAGATAGCTTACTAAAAAGCAGAGACATTACCCTGCCAACAAAAGTGCGTATAGTCAAGGCTATGGTTTTTCTAGTTGCAATGTATGGCTGTGAAAGTTGGACCATAAGGAAGGCTGAGTACCAAAGAATTGAGGCCTTTGAACTACCGTGTTTCGTCGAAAATAAGACCCTGTCTTATATTTTTTTGAACCCTGAAATAAGCGCTTGGCCTTATTGCCATATACTCAAAAGGCCGATTGGGCTTATTATCAGGGGATGTCTTATTTTGGGGGAAACAGGGTATGATGCTGGAGAAGACTCCTGTAAGTCCCTTGGACTGCAAGGCGATCAAACCGGTCAGTCCTAGAGGAGATCAACTCTGACTGCTCTTTAGAAGGCCAGATCCTAAAGATGAAACTCAAATACTTTGGCCACCTTCTCCTCACTGGAGAAGAGCCTAATGCTGGGAAAGATTTGAGGGCAAAAGAAGAAGGGGACGACAGAGAATGAGGTGGGTGGATGGAGTCACTGAAGCAGTTGGTGTGAGCTTAAATGGACTCCAGGGAATGGTAGAGGACAGGAAGGCCTGGAGGAACATTGTCCATGGGGTCACGATGGGTTGGACACGACTTCACAACTAACAACAACAGGTTTTCTCCCACTGAGGTGTACATTCAGTTCCTCCAATGGATGTGTATGCTTTGGCATCAGTAAGTCATATCCTCATCCTCTCTCTAGTGCAATTTGCTCTACATGGAGCTGCCTTTGAAGATAACTTGAACACTGCAGCAAAAAGCATCTGTCACAGATGGAAGCTGTTATAGCTGGATAATCCTTATATTGCTGAAGCTGGCCTTGTTCACAAGTTTGCTTCCAGGTGCTCATTATTCCCTATAAAACCCTTTACAGCCCAGATTTTGGTTACAGTGAGACCCTACAGAATAAAACCTGCCTGTCCAATATGAGCTAACCAAAGTACTATATCCCATGCAAGGTGGGTGGAGGCCCAGAGACTTACTTGCAACCCCCTCCTTTTGAAATAGCTTACCTCTTCCTGAGATCTCAATGGCTCTTTCCTCACTGAGGGGCATTAAGGCTCTTAAAAAGGCTCTTTTCTATAACTGAGGACAATGTTCTTGAGTGCCTGGTTTTTATGGCAGATTTACTGCTGGCCAAAGGCTGAGATATGTTCATTGACAAGTAATGTGGATATGATCTTATGCTTTTTAGAGTATTATTTTAGTGGACTATTTGGTTTGATGTTTCTTTGGTTTGATGTTTCTTAAGTTGGGAATTGCCTTGCGTTGGTGATGGAGGTGGCATCTAGAAGAGTACCATAAACTTAAATATATATTTTCAGCTCTGATGGGACCAAAAAAACAAGAATGAAAATGTTCTTTTTCAATCTCTGCTTTTCTGAACACATAAAGAGCTCTCTAATCTTTATGGGAAGATCCAAGGTTGACAGACTTGGTGCTTATAATTTATCATCTGTTTTTGGCCTCATTCATCCTGCTTGTTATTTACAGATATTAGTCCATGAGTCTTCAGGGAAAAGAGAGACTGAACAAACTTTATATGGGGAGGAAGCTCAAGGCAGGAAACAATGATCTTCAAAGTGTTTATCCAACTGTTGATTCTCAGGAAACCAATATGATGTGCCTATTCATAATATAATTAGCCCCAGGACAATTCAGATATTAAAGATCATGATTCTGGAAGCAGACAACATTGGCTCAACTTCAGGCAGGAATCTGAAGACCAAAAGTGAAGCCAACTTTACCATAGAGGAAAAGTATCATTTATACGATACCTCTTTATTACACAAAGTACAGAAATAAAATATTAAAGTTGATTATTGATTGGCAAGTGAAACAGCTGCTTGATGATTGAAATAACAATGGATACAAATGACACAACAAAAGTAATCCTGTTTTTTTTTTGTTTCTAACTTTTCTGTTATTTTTCATTGAAAATGGGCTGGGTACATGGCCTCAGACAACACAATCACCTAGGCCAATCATGCCTTCAGTACCTCTCCTACACACAGTGGAGCCCAGGCATGTAATGGAGGCTACTACTTGCTACTATTCTTACCACTACTACTGCTATTATCAATAACTACTGATGCTACTAGAAGCCTAGATACTGTCTATTTCAAAAGAAGGATACTTACAGGAAGTTTGTACCCCTGATAGTTATTAATTAAGTCTTGAATGAAGGGGTGCTTCAAAAGGAGTTCAATTTTGATGGGCTGCAGCTCTTCAGAGCCAAGATCCTTGTATACCTTAATAAAATGCTTTAAAAATAAATGAAGAGAGCTTACTTTATTAGTAAATGAACCAACTGAAAAAACAACAAGCAACATATACGAATACTGCTATAGAAGGCAGAGTTGTCCTGGGGTGAGTGTCATAATAATGTCTCTTTTTCAGCTTCATAACTTGATCATTAATACTAAAGTAGTATAAGGAGTGACTTTTCTGGCCAGCACTGATGTTGCCACGAGCCCTAGTTGTTGCTTAGAAGATCTGGTAAGAGAGCACATTTAAAGATTTCCTTACCTGTAGCACAGAACACTACAGTACAATCTTTATATTAGTCCTGTAAAATCCATTTTCCTGGAAGCATCACACAACAAAGCATGCCAGGTATCATTCAATAAAAGCCATTATCAAATAAAGGCTTTATAATTGCAAATGTAATATATCATGATCAGGAGGAGTTCATGAGAGGTCCTTGGAGAGACAGAGCATGAAGATGTGAAACATAATTTATTCAACAAACTCTTTACCGTGCCTTGCTTAAAGTTTGGTTAGATTATTGTTGACCCAACAGAATGGCTTTACTAATGAGTTCCAACTAGGTGAAAATAAATAAAGAGACTGACAATCTCATCTACTACATATACTTCACTCTGCATTGCTCTAATACTGAATCACACAGCCTCTCCATATGTACATATACATATTTATCTTGCCTGCAGGTTCGAGAGCTCTAATCTGATCCTATTTCAGAAACAGTACAGCGGCCAGTCAAACTTACCCCATTTCCTTAAATGTCAGTAATTGAACTATTGCTTGCTACAAACATTGGGATAAAAGAAGTAAGGTAAAGATAAAGGTTCCCCTCACACATATGAGCTAGTCGTTTCCGACTCTAGGGGGCGGTGCTCATCTCTGTTTCAAAACTGAAGAGCCAGCGCTGTCTGAAGACGTCTCTGTGGTCATGTGGCCGGCATGACTAAACGTCAAAGGCGCACAGAATGCTGTTACCTTCCCACCAAAGGTGGTCCCTATTTTTCTACTTGCATTTTTTACTTGCTTTCAAACTGCTAGGTTGGCAGAAGCTGGGACAAGTAACGGGAGCTCACCCCTTTACGTGGCACTAGGGATTCGACCCGCTGAATTGCTGACCTTTCGATTGACAAACTCAGCATCTTAGCCACTGAGCTACTGTGTCCCTACTAAAAGAAGTATATGAATGTAGTTAATGGAGCTATGAGCTAATTAACCAACCTCATAATTGTCCTCTTCTGTCAGCTGACTACTAAATCTGTGGTTGTCAAAAGCTTTGTTTGTTTCATACTGGAATACATGGAGAAGTGTAGCCAGAGAGATGTATCCGTCTTTGCCGATGGACAGGGCATCCTCTTCTTTCTCCTTCTCTTCTTTCTCTTCCTCCTCTTCTTCTTCCCCTTCTTCACCAGCCTCCTCCTCTGCCTGTTCATCATGAGCAGCAGTGGTTATGAGCTGCTCAGCAGATGTTATATACTAAGAAAAACAAGCCAAAGATAACATAAGGTTTTTTTTGGGGGGGGGAGGGCTAGATAGTTTCCTAATGACCAATTGCAAGGTATGTGACTGTCACAAAGAGCATCAGCTTTGAACACATACAATAAAGCCAGCTAGAGTGTTGCAGTTTTCTCTAACTAGATGTCATTGCTTCTCAGGTTCTCGCTGTCTGTTTCTGTTGTGGCCTGCCAGCAGGGCTGGCAGCAGATTCAGACAGTGAGGAGGTTGGGGAGGAACATGGGCCAGTCCTGGAGTCTGGGGAAGGCTCTGATGAGGGCCCTGCATCAGGAGGCAGAGGGGGGCCAGGGCCAGATGCTAGTTATCAGTTGCCTTCAGAGGCAGACATCAGTGAGGTAGACGAACAGCTGGAGCCTGTTCCCAGTGTGCTCATGTGCAGAGTTAGTTTGCCTAATTCAGGTGTCTCCAAAGTTGGGAACTTTAAGATTTGTGAACTACAACGCTGAGAATTCCCCAGTCAGTATGGCTGGCTGAGGAATTCTGAGAATTAAAGTCCTCAACTCTTAAAGTTGCCAACTTTGGAGAAGCCTGGCCTAATTGGTTTGTGACTCTCCGAGACTCCTGGCCAAGTTTTGAAGATATTGGCCTGGCATCTCTGGATGTTCCTCTGCCTGAATGAAACCTTTGCGAACTCAATTAAGCTGCAGAAACCTTGCTGTACTACTGTAAAAATGTCACTCTTTTTCAATCAGTTTAACTGGTATTGCATTCTTGTCTGCAATTTTATAATATTGCCAAGATGTGTACTGAAACATGCTTAGTGTGCTTTGCTGAACTAAGCTTTTCAAGTTTTCTTGAAGATGGCCTAGTGGTTAAGACACCAGGCTAGAAACCAGAAGACTGTGAGTTCTATATTTCGAAGGACCTCTCATGGACTATGAATGCTAACATGCTTGTGAAGAAGGCACAGAAGAGGCTGTACTTCCTGAGAATACTCAGGAAGATAAATCTATCTCAGCATCTACTTCTGTCCTTCTATTGCAACACCATTGAGAGTGTCCTGACATACGGCATTCTTGCATGGTATGGCAACAGCTCGATAGCAGACAAAGAAGTTCTACAGAGAATCATTAAAACTGCCCAGAATATCATTGGACTCCAGCTACCAGCCCTGGATGACATCTTTGAATCTCTCTGTTTGAGAAAGTTGCATAACATTCTCAGAGACGCTTCCCATCCTGCTTACAATCTTTTTGGACTGTTGCCTTCTGGTAGAAGATACAGAACAATTAAAACTCAGACCACACATTTTCTGAATAGTTTTTATCCCAGAGCTATAATTGCACTCAACAATGAACTAAAGGGCCACCATCAGTGAGTTGTTGGACAGTATTATTTGGTCTGTTGTGTGGATGTTTGGGTGGTTTAGAGGTGGGGAATTGTGGTGGGTGGGAATGTGTTTGGAGATTGTTATGTGTGTTGGACCTGGTCTCTGGGTGTTAAGTGAATTTCGTTGTATGGGTATACTGTGTATATACATACAATGATAATAAAGTTATTATTATTATTATCCGCTTCTTAGGGCATGAAGGCTGGCTGAAACTGAGAACTGAACGTAACTAATCAATATGAGTGATGGACAGAAAGCCTGACTACCAAGCACTGCATTCTTATTACTATCTGTTCCAATGGTATATTAACTGGACTTAAAGGTAAAGGTTCCTCTCGCATATGTGTGCTAATTGTTCCTGACTCTAGGGAGCAGTGCTCATCTCCGTTTCAAAGCTGAAGAGCCAGCGCTGTCCGAAGATGTCTCTGTGGTCATGTGGCAGGGATGACTAAATGCCAAAGGCGCACAGAACGCTGTTACCTTCCCACCAAAAATGGTCCCTATTTTTCTACTTGCATTTTTTACGTGCTTTCGAACTGCCAGGTTGGCAGAAGCTGGGACAAGTAACGGGAGCTCACCCTGTTACACGGCACTAGGAATTTGAACCACTGAACTGTCGACCTTTCTCAGCGTCTTAGCCACTGAGCCACTACATCCCTTTATTAACTGGATTTAGATACTATTTATTCTGAATATTGCACAAGCATCCTGCTTTTTCTCCAGAAGCTCTGGGCAGCAGATATGATGATAAGTCAGAAGAGGTGGCTTTATGGAACAAATATATTTTTGTCACCAACTAACCAACCAAATCAAGATACAATTTTTATTACCAAGTATTTTTTTTTTACCATTTGAGGAATAGAAAAGTGTTTCGCCCTCTTCCTTTGAATATATATCCCCGTTGCAACACTAAGGGCTCGATAGACACCATCTACAGCATCAGGGTAAGAGGCAAAGTAGAGCAGCATCTTAGTGTAGTTCAGTTGAGGAGGGTCTTTTTCAGGATCAGCAAATAAAGTGAACAAAAACTGCAAAAAGAAACAGCTCTATTAATTGATGTACTGTATTGGATATTTTGCTTAATCACAACAATTCAGTATGGATGTGGCTAAGGTGGGGAACCTAGTCTAGGCCTTTACTGTGATACTAAATTTCTTTACATGAAAGCTTTGATTGACCACAGAGGACATCATCTTTACGCTCATCTAATGATGGCCATAACACATGGAAGGTTGCAACTTGGCATGAAAAAAGAGTAAATTGTATAAGGATGAATTAATCAGGGAAGGCAAAGGAAGGGAAGTAAAATAAAATGAGCGAGGGAGGGAGGGAGGAAGGAAGGAACAAACGAACAATCAAAGGAAGATTGGTTCTCTGTTTGTAAAAGCAGGAAAAAGAGATCTGCAATAGTTCTGAAAGAAGGTGAGCTGATTTTGGAATGGAACTGATAAATATACACAAGGAAGTGAAGTAAAGATTTAATTAAGAATGCAAGGTCTAAAATGCATGTCAAAAACAATGAACCTACAACATCTATATTGTTATGGACATGTATGAAAGTAGGAATCCACAGATAAAGGATAGTTACCAGTACATTTTAACACTCTAGATCTCAAGGCTATTCCAACAAAAATGAAAGGTTTTTGAGTGACTATACAAAGGTGGGCTTTGGTTATTCATTTAATCGGTTATTTTGTTATTCTGTTTTTATTTTCTGGTGGTGGTTGTGATTTTATTTTAGTTCCTTTCTTTTTAAACTTCTGTTCAATGACAAGCCACTCAGAATGATTCCTGGGAGATATTGAATTCAAATCAATAAATAATGAAAGAACCAAGAAAAACTGTATAACACCTTGAATGAGTACAAATGGAAGAAAAGTGAATGAGCAGAAGAATGGAAACAAGAGGAGACAATATAGAAAAAATTACTGGGACATTCGGGAACCAAAGAATGAATGAGAATAGCGATTGTATAAAAACATACAATACATTAACCTCTTAACAGAATGAATAGGAAATAGAACTAAGGAAAAATATTGAATATACTTGTGTGAAAAGAATTATACTGCAAGGTTCAGAATAAGTGTAGGAAGTATGAAAAGTGATGTTTGATAGAATTCTGAAGTGAAAAAGGTGGGATTGAAGAAAAATGCATATAGAAATTATTGCTGCAAAAAATGATGAAAAAGTATACTTTTGGCCATAGTATACTGAAAAATTTTGAAAAAGTATACTTGTGGATGAACTATTCAGGATGGTAAAAGGCAAAAGGGTTATTGCCAATCTTTTAACAGACTCATACAAATCTACGGTAGACTGATGGAATACTGTGCAACTTCTGGTCATCATATTTGAGAAAATATGCAATACAGTTAGAAGAAGTATAAGACAGCAGCCAAAATTACCTGTGGCTCGAGCAACTTCCACACGAGAAAAGGTTAGAATATTGGTGGTTCTTTAGCTTAGAAAAAAAGTAACTGAAGGGGACCTGAGTGCATAAACCTGTATGTACCATGGAGAAAGTGAACAGGAAGAACGGTTACAGGAATTTAGTATGTCTAATTTAATGAAAAGACGGACTAGGGATGACATGATAGAAGTGTTCCAATATCTAAGGGGCTGCCATAAAGAAGAGAGTGGATCAAGCTATTCTCCAAAGCACCTGAAGGCTGAACAATAAGCAATGGATGGAAACTAATCAAGGAGACAGCCAACCTAGAACTAAAGAGAGATTTCCTGACAGTTAGAACAATTAATCAGTGGAACAACTTGCCTCCAGAAGTTGTGAATGCTCCAACACTGGAGGTGTTTAAGAAGAGATTGGACAACATTTGTCCGAAATTGTGTAAGGTTTCCTGCCTGAGCGGGGGTTGGACTAGAAGACCTCCAAGTTTCCTTCCAACTCTGTTATTCTATTATAAGTTTTTCTTCTCTTAAATACTAGAATTGGAAGGAGATATAAAATGGAACCTCCTCCTTCCCCAATCTTCATTCAACACATAAGCAATTTCTGCAATTCATGATGACAAAACACAACAACCGTCACTATTTTGGACGTTTTTAAAAGGGATCAGATGTACAGATGAAGGATTAGCAACAGGCTGGATGTAGCATGATCCAATCACAGGGAGTGGAAAAAGTTTATTTCTCTATTCCTGCTTCCAGGTACCAGAAGCATTGGGTTAGTCATTGTGAGAAACAAATGTTGTTGTTGTTGTTGTTGTTGTTGTTGTTGTTGTTGTTGTTGTTGTTGTTATTATTATTATTATTATTATTATTATTATTATTATTATTATTTATTGAATTTCTATACTGCCGTTCTTCTGAAGGACTCAAATGTTGACTTGAGATGGGTCTTGGCCTTACCAGGGCATTTTTTTATGCTCTTAGAATTCTTTAAGCTTTTTCAGGCTAGAAAAAACTGGATAACCAGGGAAACTCATACCACAGAAAATACTTATAACAAAAAATATTATCAGCTCTGAAATACAATAGAGAGGAATAGTCACACAGCCTGAGAATAAGGAAGAAAAACAAAAATCTCTTTCTCAGTTGACAATGTTTGAGAAATTATAAGACCGGTTGTGACTCAGCATGAAAATGTATATGTATTATTGCATGGTCAATCTACATGCATGGAAGAATCCCCATAAAATTGTTAATTCTAAAATTTTGTCTCCTTCCCTATTCATTAAAATATTTAAGCCCCTCTGTCATTCCAACCATCACTTTTTAAACTTTTAAAAAGTTTAAAAGCCTGGATAGTTTAACAGACTAAAAGCCTGTTATTAACATTCAGCTGTCTGCAATTATTGCAAGTTCGAATCTCCTGAGGCTCAAGGTTGACTCAGCCTTCCATCCTTTCTAAGGTAGGTAAATTGAGGACCCAGTTTGTGGGGGCAATAAGCTGACTTTGTATAAAATATACATAAGTATGAAGGCTATTGCTTAACGCATTGTAAGCCGCCCTAAGTCTCCGGAGAAGGGCGGCATATAAATCTAATATTATATATATATATATATATAAAAGTAACTCCATATATAGAATCAGCGTTGAAAAGCAGAAATGTCTGAATTTAACTGTTACAAATAATCAGAAATGGACAATGAATTGTGTTCAGATTTGAAAGTCAAGCAAATAATCAACTGTGTCTTAGAATGGAAATATATTTTATAAAAACTATCTACAAATAGCATCCACTCATTACTTCAGAATTGTTGGAATGTAACAGTGTTTGGAATCCATTGAAAATGGCTGTCTTACCCTTTTCCCCTTGGATTATGGCCTCTGAATATTTATACTTACTTCTATGAGATGCTTCTGACGGTTAAATGGTAAAGGCTCTATAGGACTTTCTGGAATGGCTAAATCTTCCCTGCCTTTAAACCACAGACCAACCTAAAGCAAACAAATGAAAATCTTATCCTCTGAACTATGACTATTCACAACATTTGAATTTTTGAACTTTTTTACACTTCAAAAATGTGTGGAAAGTATGTACTGGGAACATCATCAAATTAGAAAGCTCCATTGAGATATTTCTTTTCAATAACATTGGGATTTCATTTTGAGAATTGATTCTTAAAAATTGTGGGTGGATTTAATATCTTGATTTGTTTCAAAAACACGTTTGTTTGTGTTTCTCTCTCCCACCCCCATTTATCATTTCAAACATCGGAGGATGGGGTATGAGATGCTGAACCCAAAAATTGTTCTACCCAACTTCCTGTGTTGTTTCTGGAGTTTTTGGTTTGTTTTTTTTCTCTCTTTACCTATATGAAGCAAAATACCGCAATTCTGCGTAGGTGTGTATAAAACAGATCTACATTTCTTTGTGGGTTTATCATCCTGAATAGGGAATAAATCTTTTCCTGTCCCATGATTTGAAGGGGAGGCTATTGCTGCTTCCATTTTTTCCTGAAGACAGCTATTGCTCCATTACAATGTTTTTTGAAAGGATATATAAAGAAGGATAATGAGTACAGACTATGAGCTTACTGAATGATTAATGTGGGGAAGTTTTACCACTTGATAAGCCTTTACCGCATATTAAAATCGATGGTAAGAAACAACACCCACTCCATCCTTTATTGAAACGACATGACATTGCAAAACTGTTGGAGAAAGTCTTCCTATTTAGGCCAGAATCTGTGGAAGGCAGCTATCTGAAAGGCTACATTATTATTAATACCAGTACTTTAGCTGGTATTGGCCTTTGTACTCATTGAATTCTTCTCAAGAAAGGAGAATATCATAATCACTATTCAATTCTATTGACTGCCTGAACATGTCTCTGCGGTTTTCTAGGCAAAATTTTGGAGGTGGATTGCCATTTCTTTCTTCCTAGGTCTGAGCTTTGAGTCTAAGGCTGGATTTTGTGCCAAAGGCAGGACTAGAATTCAGAGCTTCCTGGTTTCTAGCCTTGTGCCTTAACCACGACTCCAAACTGGCTTTCCAACTATATATTGAGAAATCCCTCCACTTCCGCCCCAGCTTCATTGATTCCCTGTGCCCCTTTTTTAATCTTGTCCAATGCCAATATGATAGGATTTGGTTGAGCATCCCCATTAAACACAATGCACAAGAATGGGCTTTTTGAATGCAAGAACACAGGCCTTTCTGCATAAATATGTCAGCCCTTTATTCCCCCCCCCTTTTTTTCTTCTTTTTTAGTTTTCTTCTTTTTCTGCTTTGAATATAAGAATGCATAAGAATTTTGATTCTTATGCATTCAAAATTCTTATGCATTCTTATATTCAAAGCAGAAAACAGCATATAGTCTTTTTCAGAGACTTGAGCTAAGCAGTTTAACATGGACAATTGGCACCCCTTCAGAAGAGGAGATAATAAGGAAGATACTAGTCTGTGCAGAAATGGATAGACTAACATTAAAAATAAAAGACAAAGGAGAGACAGAATATTATGACACATGGAACAGATTCTATCAATGGCTAGAAGCACGAGGTGGAAGTCAGAATACGAAAAAATTAGGCTAGGCGGACCTGGAAGGAAATACTATATATGTATCATTGAATTAGAATGAATATGATGGTCAAAAATAATTGTACAACACTAGCACTGTTTAAGTAGTATATATGTTATTTGTCTTCACTTTGGTTTTTATGGCAAGTGAAATGCCAAGACAGTCACACTGTATTCAATATACCGGTATTTATATGTAAATAATAAAAATATATTTAAAAAAAAAACCATGGACCATTGGGAGAGAAGAAAGCAAGTATTCTCTTTCCTTCTCTCCAATCTAAAATTCTCTCATGATATTTTAAGTAGCAAAAGAAGTAGTTCCTATGTTAACTTGAATGGATTTGGAAAGGGAATGCAAAGCTGATTCATTAACTGAGCATGGAGAAATTTACCCATAGATTTAATCGCAACCATGGAACGATTTCCTCACATTCAATTCACACAACATATTTACTAAATTGTAATTCTAGCACTATTTTTCTCCAATATCCTATTTTTTTCTACCTGCTTTTATGGAGCAGAAGAGCTATGATAACATTTATTACTGGGAAAATAAGTTTTTGACCTCTGTAACTTTATGGTGGAATCTGGCTGAAGGCACAGAGTATGCTAGCAACTAGAATTGGAGAAGTAAAAGCTGCTTTGAGTCCCAAAGAGAAAACTGCTGAGAAGGAATTAAAAAAAACCCAAACAAAAATAAAACAAAGTTGAAGTCTCTCGAGGAAAAAGGTCACAGGGTAGGAAATGATTATTTTAACCTTCAAATGAAGTTTCAGTGTTTGGTATAATAAAAATAGCATCATGTATCTTTCAAACTTCATTGATGATGACAATGATGATTTATTATCTTCTGAAGATCACTTGGCAAATAATGGCAGTTTAGGATCAATTTAAATTTTATTCAAAAATCTATGAATTGTCCCAAATTAAGGGATTACGGGCTTTTTAAAAAGGGAGTTTTTAATGAATTTTCCAGGAACTGTTCTAATTTATATGTGCTTCCAAGCAGAGCTGCTATTTGTAAGATACATGCTGTAAACTTGAATAATTCTATTTTTTTCAGTTGTTTTGACAGATTTTATTATTAAAGCTAAAATTCAAATAATTATTAGGAAAAAAATTGCTGGTTTATTCCATAATCTCCATTTCACTTTTTAAGTCAGGATATTTTACAATGTTTTCCAACTACTTTTGAGCTACTTTACTATTATTTGGAACTGTCACACCTACAAGTAAAACTTGGGCTTTTCAACTACTGTGATGTGTGGTGAATTATGTTCTAAATCTCAATCTATGTGAATGTGAAAGTGCCATACAATTTGTACATGACCTTTCACATCATTTTTTTCAATCTTGTAATTGTATCAATATTTGAAGACATCAGAACCATACTTTTATTTTTCTTAATATGCTCTTTTTCTCCCACAGTCACATTTTGCCTTATAACCTATCTAGACAATTTTGTATTATAGGCTGCTTTTGATTCAGTCACATTCAAAATATTTTCCTCTTAGACATTTTTAGGACTTTCTCTTTGCTTGCATTTATATAATCATTTAAACCTCTGACTTTATCCTCCAGTGTCTGCTTCAATTGCAACAAACCATGACTACCCATTTCCCCTGTTAAATAAAACAGTTTTTGTTACCTTTTACATGTAATGCATGATATTGTCTATCTATCTAAGGCAGTGGTGAAATCCAATTTTTTTTTACTACTGGTTCTCTGGATGTGGCTTGGTGGGCGTGGTGTGGCTTGGTGGGCGTGGCAGGGGAAGGATACTGCAAAATCTCCATTCTCACCCCACTCTGGGGCCAGCCAGAGGTGGTATTTGCCGGTTCTCCTAACTATTCAAAATTTCCGCTACTGGTTCTCCAGAACCTGTCAAAACCTGCTGGATTTCATCCTTGATCTAAGGCATTTAAGTCAAATACAGGTAGTCCTCATCTTATGATCACAACTGAGCCCAAGATTTATGTTGTTAAGTGAGAAGTTTGTTAAGTGAGTTTTGCCCCATTTTACGACTTTTCTTGCCACATTTGTTAAATGAATCACTGCAATTGTTAAGTTAGTGACATGGTTATTAAGTGAATCTGGCTTCCCCATTGACTTTGCTTGTCAGAAGTTCACAAAAGGGGATCACCTGACTCCGGGACATTGCAACTGTCATAAATGTGAATCAGTTCTCAAGCATCTGAATGTAATGAGGATGCTGCAATGATCATAAATATGAAAAATGATCATTAGTCATTTTTTTTCAGTGCCGCTGTAACTTTGAACGGTCACTAAATGCACAATTGTAAATCGAGGGCTACCTGTAGTGTCCAGTCAGCAATATTTGCTTGTTGTATTATAGGCCCAGCCCAAATATTAAATGTTTTGATTGTACTATTGTGAATCACTACAAATTCTTAAAAAATCCTGACTCATGTTGAAAGATGAAAGATGGTTTGGGCATGCAAGTACCGTGTTTCCCCGAAAATAAGAGCCTGTTTTATATTTTTTTTGAACCTGAAATAAGCACTTGGCTTTATTGCCATGCGCTCAAAAGCCCGATTGGGCTTATTATCAGGGGATGTCTTATTTTGGGGGAAACAGGGTATTAGTTTGATTTAAAACGTCCAAATATTTGCAACTTTTCTCCATTGTCAATCCTTTGATTTTAATGCCACCTCATATTTTAATTCTTCCTGCGCATTCAATTTATCCTTTTTAGATTTCCCATGCTGTACATTTATCCAATCGAAATTCCATTTTTGATGTCATCACTAAAGATTTTTAAATGTAAATACAAGTTACTTTATTTCTCTAGATGATTTTAGAAATAGTTCAAGTATAATTTATATAAACAATTGGGAAACTTACTCATCCCTTTCTTAGATAATTTGGAGCCCAGTGGCATTTTTAATCCAAGTGATCATGAATAGAATCAGAGTGGAGTGAAGAGTAGAGACAAAGAGCCTCCTTCAAAAAAAATGTTTTTGAGAGTGGGAATATGCCATTGTGCTGTCTTACACGCTTAAGAGGACTGAGCATAGATTCTCTGATTGTATGCTACAGTACCACCATACACAAAGCATCCATTTGTTATGTATTACTATGCCTCAAGATCCACAGAGACTCTTGAGAACCTGACCTTGACTCTTTTGTCTTTCTAAAGAAATGGTGGGTAGGTATTTACAAATCAGAATGAAACCTGAGGTAAAGGTAACACGAAGTTATTTAATGTATTAATTACACTGAGCAAAACTGACTTCTATTCAGTTGTTTTCATTTTTTACACGTATCAGCACATACCCTCAGAGACACAGACACAGTGGCCCATGCTGAGCCACAAACCACATGTAAAGTACAATCCAATATATATTTACTAAGAAATACGTCTCACTGCATGCAATGAGGTTTACCTCCTAAGTCTATGTGCATAGCAGAGAAGTGTTGAAAAGCCACAATGTTTAGAAAAAGGAGGTGGGGTTAGCAGTTACGCTTGGAGAGGGGTACTTTGACGAGGGTTGGCCTAAATAAAATTTTGCTTGTAGTGATGGGCACTGATTGTGACATACTAAAAGCAGCTGTGTCCTTTTCGGTAATGATGTAAAATTATTTAACACCACCGACAATGCTGCTGCCCTACAAAACAACCTTAACCATGTGTCAGAATGGTCGCGCATTTGGCAACTCCAAATCTCAACTAATAAATGCTCTGTTCTACACACTGGCAATAAAAATCAGAACATCAAATACAACTTGGGTGGAAACGACCTCGTAGGCGACCCTCCTCCGTCAAGGACCTAGGAGTACTCATTTCAAATGATCTAAGCCCCAGAGCTCACTGTAACAGCATTGCCAAAAAGGCATTAAGAATTGTTAACCTAATTTTGCAAAGCTTCTTCTCCGGTAACATTGTATTGCTAACTAGGGCATACAAAACCTTTGCCAGACCAATTCTTGAATACAGCCTGGAATCCACACTGTATATCGGACATTAATATGATTGAGCGGGTCCAGAGGTATTTTACGAGAAGAGTACTCCACTCCTCTACTCACAATAGACTCTCTTATGCCACCAGGCTTGAAATTTTGGACTTGGACAATCTGGAACTGTGCATAGTACACAAAATTGTCTGCTACAACGTCTTACCTGTCAACGACTTCTTCAGTTTCAACCTCAATAATACACGGGCAAACAATTGATACAAACTCAAGGTAAACCACTCCAAACTCGATTGCAGAAAATACGACTTCAACAACAGAATGGCCAGTGCCTGGAATGCTCTACCCAATTCCATTGTTACATCCTCAAAGCCTCACAGCTTCAACCTTAAACTGTCTACCGTGGACCTCACCCCATTCCTAAGAAGGGGGAGTGCATAAGCGCACTAGCGTGCCTACCGTCCCTGTCCTACTGTCCCCATTTATTTGTATTCATTTCCTTCGTTCATGTCCATGTTCATATTTATGCCTGCTATCTTGTACATGTTTGACAAACTAATAAATAAATAAAATAAAAACTCACAATATAGGCCTGGCTACCTGCTTATCTCATTGCTGTCAGTAAGATTCAATCACAAACTCTTAAAAGGGCAAATATAAAGGACTGGAACCTGATCATATTGTTCCTGGGTGACAAATCCAGATCCTTCGATATCCACATCCTGAAATCTCTGTAATGTTTCAAGCAGTTCTGTTACAGAGGGAATAGGCCAAGGCTGGGAAGCTGCATGTAAGAATCTGCGCCAGTCCACTGTGTCCAAATTCACAAGTAGGAATAATGATAGGCTCTGCAACTGTAACATAGAATTGCAAGCACAGAGATGAATGCATGATCCCATACAGTAAAAAGATTAGGAATGGACGATGTAGGACAGGATATTGTTCCTGGACTTCAACTTTTTAAATTCCCAGCAAGCCATGGAGGTTGAGAAGCATGGAACTCAAAGCCAATATATATACTGAAGCCCTTTGGGTAGGAGTTAGATAGAGAAATAATTGGACAGACATGTAGAGGACTTCACTGATAGGAACAGCAAGGTAATTATGATAATTCATCAGCAGAAAACTGTCATTTAGTACAAGTGCTTTCAAGGCTTTCCTAATTGGCAAGCAGAGGAAGCAAAAACAACAGATTTCAATTAGGTAAGTATATTTCATACTTGAGAGCCATTAGTATCAGCAGTCAAGACTGAATTGAATATCTCTACCTCACCCTAATTGTTTTAATGTTATTTTAGATTAATATACAGAGTCTTGAAAACTGTAAAGAGTTTTCCAGCCTCACTGAGTTACACCGAGATAATTAAAGTGAACTCTCTTTTAAATGCTTCCCCCCACCTCATCTCTCAGCAACTGGACTGAGGTATCTTTTCTGAGATAAATACTCCTCTGACTTGCCTGCAGCTTCCCATAATTTCTCCCTGTCATCCACAATACCCAATAAAAACAAGTCATGTTTCTTTTCCCCAAAGGAACATTCTGCTTCATTCCTTTTTAAATGTAAGATGACTGGGCTTTCTCTCTTTACAGAATAATAGTTACGGCAGAGTTTCTTAACATGGCAACTCTAAGATGTATGGACTTCAACTCCCAGAGATCTCCAGCCTGTAGGGGTGTACTTCTTGTCCCAGAATTTCCCAGCAAGCAAGTCCAAACTTTTAAAGTTGCCAAATTGAGAAGTGCTGACTTAGGGTTAGCTGGCACTCAGGTGACCTATAAACTCCATGGTCACTCTCAACATGGAAGCTCACTCGATAACTTTGGGCTGGTCATTTTTCTTCAGTCCAATTGATCTTATAGGATAATTGTGGGGAACACTAGTAGAAGAACAAAAAGCAGGATATAATTCTATCAAATCAATAAGTAACGCACACAAATATGAAAGCAATCCCCATGTTAGATTTCACTTGGTCTTGAAGGCAGGGATGGGTTGTCCACAATATGAAACAAATCCAAGAAGTTGCCTTCCAGAAATATTCAAAATGATTTAACTGATTAGCACCTTTCATACACATAGGTAAACAAGCTCCCTTTATAAATTGCTAGTAACCTCTCCATCCAAGCAATATGTCCTATCCTTCTAAAACTGTCAATCCCTAGATTTTGTAATTCAACCACTTAGCAATATATTCAAGTCAAAACTAAAGCAACATCAGATACACTAGGGGTGTCCATAGGGATGGTCAAGCTGGCAGTCATAACTCTATAATTATGGTCTACATATTGACTTTTTAGACTTTTCCCTCACAAGTGCCCTGATGGATACTTACATCATACATGGAGAGATGTAGCCAGGCATCAGGAAGTGTATTGGACCCAAGATTCAGAGTGATCAAATCATACAAAATATCTGTGAATGTTTTACTTGGTATTAAACCTAGGCAAATAAGAAAAAAGAGGAGAAATGGGTCAAAATGGAATTAAATAAAAAAAATTTAAAAATCAATTACATTTCACTGCCTAATAGGTACATGGCATATTTCCCTGTCTTTCTTTCCTAATTATACTATATATACAAAGACTGCAATTTATACGTAATTGTACAATGATGTAGATTTCAATTTCTTTACACTATGTAAACAAAGCTGTGGGTTACTATCAATCATGTATGATCCAAGACAAAACAAGAGGAGTATCCTGCTCCTTCTTTATTCAGAACAGTGGCTGATAAAAGTCTATTCCCCTAATAAAAAACTGGAACATAACTGGTTTCCAAATTGGAGTTGAAAAAAGAACATTTAGCACATCATCAGTACTAAATGTGGGGTTTGCACTGCCTTCACTAGCACTGATTTTGTACCTAGTTGAGTAGTGAAATGTCTGTAAGTAAGCAACCAAGCTCAGAAAGCATCAAGGACCACACAATTCAATCCTGAGCTAAACATTTTCTCTTTATCATTACTACATGCAAATAATACTTCTGCTACAGCACAGGTTATAAATGGGCTTGAGTGCAATTCAAGGTGCTGGTTATCATTTATAAAGACCTACATTGCATAGAGATTAGATAATTGTCTTGTCTCCTGTAGTGTCTCTCGCATGGCTTGTTTTGGGTTCCATTAAATCATCAATATCACTTAGTGCGAGCCAGGAAGCCTTTTCTGTCACTGCCTCCCCTAGAGATCACCAGCTTCCTTGCCTTCAAGTGAGTCTCCCCCCTTCCCCAAAGATCTTGTTTTTGGCATGATCTTTTTAACTTTATGAAGCTACTCAAGAGTCATTCTGGGGTTGAATGGCCTAGAAATCTGACAAATAAATGCATTTTATGTTTTATGTTGTTGTTGTCTTCACACAACCATGGGTTACAGCCATTTGTTCAACAACCATTCAATGGTGACGAACAAATGGTATTTAAGACAGGTTCTATACTAACATCAATTATGGCATTATTTTAGCCCCTTCTTGAGAGCATCTTGAAAACAAATGGATTTTGGATTGAATGGAATCCACTCTGTCTTGATCCACCCTCTATTAACAGCAAAGTCCTGATGACAGAAAGCAGTGACAGCTTTCACTAGATCTGAACAGTGGATCCTTAGTTGACTTGCCCAAGGAGATTATTCCCCAAGGCTCCAATTGGGTGAACAAGTTTATCACAAGTCAGTTTGATTGGGAACAGCACAATAGGTGGTATGGAACAATGCAGGAAATCAGCAAAGAAATAGTGATATATAGGCACAAAATGGGATGAAGCTGTTATGATATGTTAGTTCTCTCAACTAATCTAATTCTCAGGTCTGTTATGAGGATAAAGAGGGATCAGGAAAGAGAGAAACCATGTACACTGTCAAGAGCTCTTGAAGGAAAAGTGCGGTGCAGAAAACAGAATTTAGTGGATCCAATCAAAAGTATGCATGGTATTGTTTCAAGAATGTACAGACTCTTCACAAAGACTGAGAAGGTTGGTTACAAACCTTTGATTAGAGAATGTATAGTTACTAAAGCAAAATATGTATCTGAATCAAATTTGTATTCCAAAGAGAATCCTTTGGTGGAAGAGCACAGGAAGCAGAGCTCCAAGGAGATCCATGCTAGTTATGATGCAAATTTATATTCGTTTTATTTTTGTTTTTACTTTACATTTGCATACTTTACATTGCCTTTTCACTTGCAAATGACTCTGATTCTTATCCCAACCAGGGAAAGAATTTCTCCTTCTGCAAATTTTAAGCGCAACAAACTTACATGTCATGCCTAATTACCAAGCTCTCTTTCCATGAGCCAATTAGTTAACTATGCATGCACTTGATGGTTGCAAGGTTCTATTTCTACGGTTGCAATTGCAAAATTTGAAAGCATAAAGAAAGTAGAAGTTATGCAAATACTGTGGTACCTTCTGAAGTCAGGTGGATTTAAGCTTTTATCCAGGGAGCACAAGACATATCCATGGTTTGTAAGGGAGAGAGACAGAGAAATAGCTTCCTCAAGTTTTTATTACAAACATAATTCCTTCTGCATTGGACTTCTTGAGCTTTCTTAATTATCTGCTGTATTACATTTCTTTTTTTCGTTTTATTATTTTGCGTTGATTTTAAAAAGTGTTGAGAACCGCTTGCAATCAAAACATTGCTTTCTTCCTTTTATAAAAAAGCTGCTCCCTCTTAGCGCCAACACCCATTCAAACAGTTCAAATCCATGTAGAGCATTCAAATAAATTAACAAACTGGCTAAGAAAAAATAATTCTTTCATTTTGGGAGATCAAGATATCAAGCTTATGATGCAAAGTGTAAAGGACATTAATATGCTCTGGGTGGAACTTACATTGCAAGACATTTCATTTCCAGAAGAAAGAAAAGTAGTAAGAATAGTAATAATTATTTCTCTATTTCAGCCATGACACAAATATATAGTTGGAATGCAGAATAGCATGCATTTCAAAGAAATTTATTTCCATTCTTCAGTATCTTGTTAGAGGCAAAATGTTTGGAAATTCCTATCGTGCATTTTTGTATTTTACACCACCATATTTGAAAATAGTATTTCTAACAATATTGGATTTTACTTCCTATCATCCTTGATAAGTTACAGCATATTTTAACCCTCCTCTACAGAAAGATCTTGGCCATATCTAACTTTTCAATATGAAACCTATTCAACTTTTCTAAAGACATCTGTTCCAAAGTTATATTTATTTCATTTCTCTAAAATCTATATGCATGTTTTAATTTCATAAAAAAAATTATACTCAAGTGCTGAAATATCTTATACTAAATGGTTAAAAAGTGTTGATAGACAATAGAATAAAATTATTAACAGAGATGTCCATAGACCCACATCAGTTTTATTCTAATATTTCTGAAGGCTATTTTATTTCTAGTTGTTTTACAAAGGCTTAAAACTTCATTTGAGTAAGCAATTATTTTCAAAAAATCTCCAGTTATGGAGTAGAAATATTTTATAAAGTCTTTAACTGTTACATGTACTTTTCCCTGGAAGGTCCTTACCTTAACAAACACACATTTCTTTTCCTATTCAAATCTCTTTAAATTGTTATGCATGAGATATTTTCTGTATACTGTAGATGTATGTATATTTCTCTCTCTCTAGATGTGGATGGATGGTTTGTTTTTATAATTAATTAAAAGTTGTGATTTTATATGATGAAAAATATGTAATTTGTAGCTGGAAGCTTCAAGCATTCCATTCCCACAGCTGAAACTATTGGGTCTTAAGAATCATGGAAAAAAAAAAACAATATGATGGTGATGGAGGCAGGCACAAAATTGAGGTGGGAAGTGAGAGAGGCAGGATTTCTCTTATACTGCCAGTAAAAATATCAACAATATATGTAATAATCAACAATTTGATGCAAATTTATGATTCCCCAAATTATCACAAAGTCCCCTTCATTAATCTAAAAATAGAGACGCTCCCATAGTGGTCTCACATAGTTTTGATTACAACCTTATAACTAATTTAATTCTAGAACTGGTTTACTTATTTTTTTGAAAAGTAACTAAATAAAGAAAATCTAAAATGATCCAATGAACCTGCGAAGGTTGGGTTCTTGCCGGCCTCCCCAGGTAAACTAGACAAGAAGTACAACTAGCTGAGCTAATTTTACTTTGTTGTAAGACTACATTGACAGAATCTTGCAAGTCTGAAGGTATAAGGTCCTGCTGCCATTTTTAACCACTTGATCAATCGGCAGATCCCTTCCAAGTTTCTTCCTCTGGATTGTCAGTCTCTTGTCTGATCATTTCCTAGGTATCTCTTCCCCTCCCCCTTTAATGTCATTCTGACATATCTTTGTAGTTCTGTTAGAAAGTGGCGTGTCTCATGAAGTGGAAAAGTCAAAGCTGCTACTAAAGCATTCAACAAACATATTTTGTGTCTGAGTTGCAAAAGTTAGAAAATACATTAAGCCCTACACAATGGCCTTTGCATCTCCTCTAATTATACAGCTGCACACTTTGCTTTTCATTGGAGTGTGGATTTCTTTGGGAGGAGAAAAGAGATAATGATTACTAAACAGTTATTTGTTGAAACAATGCCTTTGCATGAAATTGAGACAGAAATAATGTTGCACATCTAGTCGCTTCCAAACGAACTTTCCCTTTCCCATTCGGAATCAGATGAAGAATCAGAATTCTCACAAGGAGATAATCCAACTGGGATCCCACTGGGATCCTCCTGATTAGCTTGTAGCTTTCTGTTCCTTTGCCAAGAAACATTCCACAACTGAACAGCTTTCTGGGGATCAAATTTTTTGATCTCAGGTGAATTCAGCTGAATGACCATGAGATCCGTCATGCTCTCAAACATGAGTTTTGAACGCAGCCTCATCATTGTCAGTTTCATTTGACCAAAGCCTCGTGCTGCTTCACTGGAACTTGCTGGCAGTGTCAAGAGAAGATCAATAAGGGCCAAAATGTTTGGATATTTATGAAAAAAATCTCTGTTTACCAAATCCCATGTTAAGCTCCGGATGTTTTCATATCTAGAAAAGATAATGTTTATTACTAAACATGTTCCTTTTGCTAGTGTAGCAATAAAACAAACTTGGATTTAAAACAGCATGCTTGTTACCTATTATATAGCTCTGCTTTTAGCATATTCCATTCCGTTTCAATTTCATCCACTTTCACTTTGGCCCATTCTAGGACAGGCTCATAATGCTGAATCAGTAGAGATATTTCCGTCTCACCAAATTCTATAAGAACAGTCATATTAATTAAAGCAGTCCACATCTTTCAAAAAGGAATCATTTATTAGCCACTGCAGGGTGCTTTGTGTACCTTGTTTGAATTTGTCTGGCCATAGTTTAAAGCTTCCAATGGCGCTTGCCATCAAAACATCTTCACTAGCATCACAAAAACAATCTCGCAGCTGGTTCAAGAGACTGCTTAATAATTCTAATCGGGTTGCTGAAATATTTCCATCTCCCACAAGAGGGTAGCCATGAAAATATGTGATTGTCTCTACCAGACGTTCTCGTGGCCCTGATCTGAGGGGAGAAACATGATATTTAAGCAATTAAACTCTCTCTTTTTCAATTCAGACACGCTTAAATATATGCAATAATTGTTAATATCCAACCTTTTTTGATACATTTCGAGTATTTCCAATGTTGACTGAATCGTAGCAAACACGTCTGCAATGGAAGTGTTTGGATTGTGGGCAACACGAGACAGAATGTTGAGGACATTAATGACATCTAATAAGAAGTGAGAAAATTTAACTATGTCTGTTTTTAGAAGAAACTTCAAGAGCTCTTTGGCTTTCTGTTGATTTGAGGAGTCTGATTCTTCTCCCACCTGGAACTCAACATGAAAAACAAGGTGTTAAAACACTGACAGAAAACTTCTAGTTTTTCAGTTGTTATTCAAATCCTATAGTTTCAAAAAGCATTTACCTTACTCAGGTGTAGAATAATTGCTGGGTAACCTTTCAGAAGGATCTGAAGAGCTGTCTGTAAGCGAAGAAACCATTGAGAGCCACCAATTCGAGAAGGAACCACTGGTGTCATTTTATGGGCATCACAAATTAGCTTAAAGTTGTTCTTATTCATTGGAGAGTTGTGATAAAAATAGTACAAGTTTTTTAATACATCCATAAGTATATTGAATAGTGGAGTGTTCTTCAGTGCCATCTTGTAGGCCATTTCAAGACGGTGAACAAGACAATGAATGCTTTGAATACATGGCTGGATGTCCTTCAATAGTTTAGCTACTCCATTTTCTCCTACCATAACATCTCTACCATCACTGCCAAAGCCAACCAGTTTTTTTGCCCAGTCATGGGTTGGCAAATTGACTTTCAGATTGGTTTGTAGAGTTTTTAAAATGGCATTTTTCACTGTCAAAGCATCATACATGTCCATGGACTGAATTCCAACAATCTGGCAGTGGATTTTCCCTTGATGTGCAAACTGTATATATACAAGGGCTGCTTCTGTTGTTCTACTGTCCGTAATACCATCGCTAATAAGGGAGAAGAACTTGCATTTTTCTAATTTCTCTTTCAAGGCTCTTCTTTCCACTTCAGCGATAAAATGAATAAAGATTCTTGCTGCTTTGTCATTTCTGAAAATGGAACCAATGTCCACCCCCTTCGTATCATCCAGTTTACTTATCCAGTCCAGGTCTGTGAAGGGGCGTCCAGTTTTGGCAATGGCATGGCATGTTCTAAAGAGGTTTTCGATTTTCCCCAAGGTTGTTTTACTTACGTTCTTTAACATATGCTGAGTGGTATCTGAGTCTGTGGTAGAACTACTAGCTGTTTCCATACAGGAAGCCCATGCATGAGCTTCACTGTTATGATGGTCATCAACTAATTCAAGAATAAAATCATCAGTCCCAGAGCAAAAATTGTGTGTCTTCTCCCCTAAGTCTACATTATGTTTCCGACACAGAGCACAGTACATAATGCCTTTGTCACTGTCATATTTTAACCACGAGTATTTCAACAGCCAGATGTTTGGAAACTGGTGTCTCTTCTTTGAAGAGCTTTGTTTGCCTGGAGTTACATTCTTGCTTTTAAGTTGCTTCAGGGCTGCTATGGCTATAAATATTTCATAATGTTTATGATAACATTATAGTGTTTTAATACAATTTCAATACAACTATTATTTTGAGCTACAATTATTAATTATTCCAAACTACAGAAGTTCAACTACTGTATTTGTTACAAAACAATAAATGTGAGGCATCTGAAAAATTCCTTTTTTTTTCTTCCATAAGCCACATTTAGTGCAAAGATATATGCTAAATTCTGTATTAACTATATGTGAAGCTGAAATCTTGTCTTCCCACAAAATTATGCAAAATATAAAATGTTCATCTTTAATCTTTTTAGAAATTAATACCGCGTTTCCCTCAAAATAAGACCGGGTCTTATATTAATTTTTGCTCCAAAAGACGCATTATGGCTTATTTTCCGGTTAGGTCTTATTTTGGGGGAAATACAGTACTAAATGCCTCTGTCTGCTGAGGATCTTAACTGGGGCTTATTTTGGGGGTAGGGCTTATATTACGAGCATCCTGAAAAATCATGCTAGGCCTTATTTTCCAGTTGGGCCTTATTTTTGGAGAAACAGGTTATAAACTGAAACAATATTCAGCAGAATTGTTGACTGTTTAGATTTCAGCAGTTTTGACTGACAAGTTTTTATTCCTTATTTACAATCATAAGAGTTCAAAATTATTTCTTTCTTGTATTTTAAGAAGAGGCTGTTGGGGACAAATCCAAACCGACATAACACATTGTGTTATCTGAAGCTTCCATTAAATCTTAGGAGTGTTTCCTACAGTTAGGAAGCAACTCATAAGTATGCTTAGTTGAACCAACACATATTATGCCAGGATTTTTAAATATGGTATAGTGAATAAGGTATAATGTTACAAGGTTCATAATAGTTATATGAACAGTTATGTGTCTACTAACAGAGAAGAAATATATACAGCAAAAACTTATATACTCCTGAAACACATTGTCAGCAAATATATAAAATACTTCAAGTAAGAAATGTTAATAGAAACCTTGTTTTTAATTCAGATATTATAGGAGAATAACCTGTTTCTAATGAAGCTATCACAGAAGAAAATTATGTACTGCCAGTTGAATTTAAATACAGGTTATCTGCAGAAACATCCTCCTTTCATCCAAATGAAAAACGCACCATTGCAATGCAAGCATATAAAAATGGGGCAGGGATTCTATCATAATGTAGAAAACTGCTTTCATCAGTCTGCTCCCTCCCTGGATATTGTTATCCAAACAATATCTAGCAACATATAATACTTTTCATCACATGAGATGAATGTGTCAAGTTTAACTCACAATGTTATTTTTATAACCTTAATTTTGTCCTTTCTTATTTTTATATTGATTCTTTAAAAGTACACGTGAAAATGCAACCATTTTCTATGTACTGTTTCCTAATCATACATTTATATATTCATTTGCAGGGCAGGCATTGTAACCGATTTCATACTATTCAGAAAAGTTCAGAAAATTGTGTTACTGTTCAAGTATCTGTTTAGGAATTTCAACCAGGTATGCTTATCTAAAATAACGACGTTAAAAAACACTGCACCAATAAATTTCATTTCCATCCCTGGAAAGAATACATTTATAAGGAGGAATAATCAGGTTTACAGGTAGTCCTTGCTTAGCAACAATTGGGACTGGCAACTCTGTCTCAATGTGCCGTGGTCACGAAATAAAAAAATAACATCCTTGTTTTGGGTTTATGACATCACTTCCATTCGGTTGTTATACAAATCACTGTGACTGTTAAACAAAACATCATATGACAATTTACTACCCGTATTTCCCTGAAAATAAGACCCTGTTTTATATGTTTTTTGCCACCAAAAAAGGCACCAGGTCTTATTTTCGAGAGGGGGATGTTGTCCACTGACACATCTCATTTGTGCGCATTGCCCTGGCCCAGTGGTGAAATCCAAATTTTTTTACTACCAGTTCTGTGGGTGTGGCTTGGTGGGCATGGCAGGGGAAGGATACTGCAAAATCTCCATTCCCACCCCACTCTGGGGCCAGCCAGAGGTGGTATTTGCCGGTTCTCCGAACTATTCAAAATTTCCACTGCCCATTCTCCAGAACCTGTCAGAACCTGCTGGATTTCACCCCTGCCCCAGCCTCTTTTTTCGCTATCAGAGGCCTTTAGGAATTTCTTCATCCAGCAAGGCTTTTGTGAAGACCTCTGCTGTCGATAACAGAACTCTGGATCGATCCGGAGCTCTGTTACTGGCTACAGAGGCTTTCAGGAAAGCCAGTTGCAGCAGAAGAAATGGGACGAGGTGTGCAAGGTCTGGCTGCAACTATCCAAAGGTAAATAGTAGGGCAGCTCCACCCCCCACATCCCCACCCTAGCTTATTTTTACCTGTACACCCTGGAGTGGGTGGGGTCTTAATTAGGGCTTATTTTGGGGGTAGGGCTTATATTGGGCGCACGTATAAAAATCAAGCTAGGACTTACTGTCTGAGTAAGTCGTATTTTTGGGGAAACACGTTTTTTTATTTCTATGTTCTCCATTAACTCTGCTTGCCACAAGCCAATTGAGAAGCATGCAAGTGGTGATCATGTGATTGCAGGAGGCTGTGATAGCTGTAATTGCACTTTGTTGCAAAGTGCCTGAATAGCAATTACATGACCATGGGATATGGTCATAAACGGGAGGGAGGCGATCATAAATGTGAGGGTTAGCTACAAAACTATTTTTCTTAACACTATTGTAACATCAAATGGTTGCTAAATGAGATAGTCAATAAGCAAGGACCGCCTATATAGGTTTTCACCTATTGTAGGAATGGATATTAGAAATGAGCTATGATCGCATGGACTTCATGAAAACCTTTTCTTTTTTATTATCTAGTATACATTTGTGCGTTTGTATAATTTTTTTTTTAGAAAAATGCCTGCTATTTACAATAATTTAGCAAATATATTATAACTTTTATAAGCAATTCTTTAAAATCTTTTTAGAATCTTGAATTAAACAGGTCCTTTATTTTGAAGAAAATGTATGGATTGTCAGGACGGAATGATACTGGATGATATGATATGGTTAAATATTAAGACAGTAGAAATATTAAGAGAGTAGAAGACAGTACATTTGAAGAGTCTAAACAGAGACATTTGGATGTACATGAAAAAGGATGGGTGTATCTATAACTTGAATTTAAAAAAGACAGCTAAGTCAAAATAACATTTTATTGAGGGATTTATATGTTAAAAATGTATTGAGGAACAACATCAGGAAAGTGCAGTGAAGAAAAGTAGATTTGCACTGTTAATGTGTAAAGTGATCTAAAGGTTTAATTTTAAACAACTAATCTGCATTTTGTCCTGTTCTTAACCTTTGTAGAAATATCCTTATATATTATGGACACACATATAATATTTCAATCACTTTAAATCTTGAATAGTCATTAATATGCTATGATAAATATATGGAAAAAGTATTTTCTTACCTTTAGGTGCCACCTGTAGAAACTGCTTATGAAGAGTACTAAGCTGTGAAATAGTGAGTGTACTGTTTGTAGCAGTCTCCACAGATGGGGGACGAGCTGGACGAGGAGGATCTTCAAATACTTTTATATCACCATTAACATAGAAATCTATTCCTTCCAGGACTAATTCAAACTGAATTCTGGATGAAGTTTCAATACGATTCCGGGCAACTCCAATTAATTTATCCACACTGTAACAATACATATGCTTGAAAATGAAAAACATGGCAAAACCTAAAATTAATAGTTTTATTGACAATTAATATTTTTCTACAGGCTTTGTCCCTAGAAAAATCAGTCTGATTCTTCAATTCCAGGCATGCTATTAAAATATCTAATATGCTCTCTAGAACATGTGAAACCAACAGCTATTGAAATGCCTCTCTTGCTGAATCTCCCAAATTTCATTATGTCATTTGAATAACTTGCCTCCAGAAGTTGTGAATGCTTCAACACTGGAAGTTTTTAAGAAGAGATTGGACAACCATTTGTCTGAAATGGTATAGGGTGTCCTGTCTAAGCAGGGGGTTGAACTAGAAGACCTCCAAGGTCTCTTCCAACTCTGGTATTCTATTCTATTCTATTCTATTCTATTCTATTCTATTCTATTCTATTCTATTCTATTCTATTCTATTCTATTCTATTCTACTCTACTCTACTCTACTCTACTCTACTCTACTCTCTACTCTACATTTAGCTTCCTATGAAATTGGAGTGAATTCTTTTACTATGTTTGAAAAACTTTTGTAGCGATAAATTCATTTTACTGAGAAAGATCCAATGGGAATGACACAAAGTCCTGATATCTTCACATTTCCAGATACATTATGGATAGAAAATGTTTGGGATTGCCCACCTTAATAATACTCTCCAGATTGCATTTCAGCCTATGGATTAGCATACATTAAACTAGTTTTTCAGATATGCCAAAATGTAAGAGAAGCGGAGAGACCAAAAGCTTGTCTTCATTTCGTTTTGTTGGGGTTTCACACAGAAAGAATAAATAAAAAGTGATGTTTCCTGCTATTTATGGAAAGCTTAATGAATCAAAGTAAACAATTTCAGGGCTCATTCAAAAAACTATTCACAGCTGTTCAGAAAGAAAAAAAAGTATGTTACATTTCTCTCAATAAATGCTACTTTTTAAATTATAATTCATGCAACCAGTATTTAACTACATATACACACCCAAGATGTAAACTATTACTCACAATTTGCTCTTCAGAATTATAGAAACACAACTGTAGTTTATCTGTATTACAGATAATGCAGATTTTTACCTCATTTCCTCTATTGTAACTGTCAGATGTAAATGCCTTATTCTCTAATGTGTAAATAGTGTACAAACAGGGTATCAGGGGTTAACTTATTCTTCACTTCTTAATATATTCATAATTCACCACTCCCACATATAGCTCCACCCATTGTATATATAAGGAGCTACCTACACCCTTTCCCTTGCTTCTATCTGTGAATATTCAGTGAATATAGAATGCC